TAAATTGTATCAGGCAGACTCTTTACTCTCCTTGGTATTGCCTGGTATTGATTCGCTCACATAATTACTGATTTCTGTAGTGGAAGTTGACCCAAATCGAGGCATTTCAATTTTTTAGTGACTAATGTAGGATACGACTCTGTATGATCCATATCAGTTTATCTTTTATTTTGAATGAGTGATGTTGCTATAGTAAGATGTAAACATTATTAGTAATAGTTATTTATTATACAAGGGAAAAAAGTAGTAGATTTTAGCTCCAGGTTGTGTTGTCTCCCGACGCGTAGCGGAGGGAGACGACAAACCGTGAGCTAAAATCTAATATTTTTTCCGTGTATAATACACTATTTTTTTCTGTGACAGAAGAAAGGACGAATCAATATTGAGAAGATATTACATTATTTTGAAATCAGAAAATTATCGACGTGAAATTTTAAGTTGTAGGCATCTTTATCATTCATTTGAAGTAATCAAATATCTGATGTCACTTCTGTCAGTCTAATTTTGTGATTTTATTTCAAGAAATTGCGAATTCAGTGGTTGTTTAGCAATATACGTAACCGCCAAGTCGAATGGAAGATAAAAGGACTTGCAGTTCTTTCTCGGAGACGGGATTATCGACTCATTTTTCGGAACTATAGCACAATAAAAGCCATCAACAGTGTGTATATATATGTGATATATATCCGGGAAAAAAGTACTCACTTTTTTCCCACTGGAAAAAAGTAATTTATGAAAAGTGACATTTTATAACCTGCCAACAGGGATGAAATGCCAAACTTTTTTCCCGTCACAGAAAAAAAAAAATCTTCGAGTTGAGGAATATAATTTATATTGAAGATTCATCGAAGTATTTGATGATATCTATTATAAATGTGGCTACTATAAATTATATTATAAAATTAGACAACGATTCTATTGGGCAGCAATGAGTAAGGACATAAAGAATTATGTGAAGACCTGTTCAGTTTGTCAGGTTGTAAAATTCAAGTATTTGCCTAAACCAGATTTTGTTCACATAACACATCTTAACATCATGTGCTCAGCAGCCGTTTGAGACAATCCATGTGGATTTCGGAGAAATCAATAAAAAATCAGATTTGCACAGGAAAACAAAATCATTCATAATTATTGTTGACGAGGCAACTAGGTATGTTACAGCTAAGAGCTGTTAGGAATTATTTGGATCATCTACCATTTCTGAAAAAAATCAAAAATATTGTGAGCGATTGTGGGAAAGCTTTCACATCCACAGAGTTAAAACAGTGGGCTTTAACTCATAATATAAATTTAGTTCACACAACTCCTTATCATCCTGCGGGTAATGGAATTGCTGAAAGAACAGTCCGTGAAATGAAAACATTCATGAAATGTTACGAAAATTTTCCAGGAGGTTGGAAAAATTATTTGGAAGCAGCTGTACAACATCATAATTATTCTCATAATGAGTATCTGGGTTGTTCACCGAATCATAAATTATATGGTAAAACGACAATACTGCAAGCAGATAAAGAATTGGGAATTGAAATATGCTCAAAAGATACCCCTAAAACACCAGAAGAACAGATGAAGTATAAGAAGAGAATTCAAGAGCAAGCCAATAAATAAAAAAAGTTAAGACCTCCCCAATTAAAAATAGGTGATTGGATTTTGGTGAGAACGCAGCGGATTGGGAAAGAATATATCACAAGAGGTCCTCACCAAGTGATCAAAGACATCAAAGTGGAATATATTGACGGAGTATTGGCATATGTTCATTTCAATGCAGAAGATAAAGAAGAAACAGCACATATTAGCAACATACGCCAGTTTCATCCCAGGAGTGATGATTTCTTTGGAGGGGGAGTTTTGTAGGATACGACTCTGTAGCAGTTTATCTTTTATTTTGAATGAGTGATGTTGCTATAGTAAGATGTAAACATAATTAATAAAAAATAATAAACCTTCGAGTTGAGGAATATTATTTATATTGAAGATTCATCGAAGTATTTGATGATATCTATTATAACTAATATTTGTCAATCTTTGACATTCACCATAGCTCTCTTATGCTATCCATCAGAATCATATTGTTTGTTCACCTAAATAGCCGCTGATATCGCATATCATGTGATTTCAATCATGTAGTTCCATAGGTGCAGCCAGGTGTGAATGAAATATCGAAAGCAGCAGCGATAGTGAATTTGAAAATGTCCATACGAAATGTCCAATAATGTAGCTGTTAGTAGGTATAGGTATTCTGTTCAAATTTTAGTATTCGATACAAATTAGAATTGAAATATTCGAAATTTTAATCTACAAATAAATATAATATGAAAATGTTTCTCATTTATTTGTTATTCTACTATGGGTGCAAAGAGAAGTGCAGCATCTGCACTCTTTGGTCCTTAGCCTTTTTGTGGGACAAGCAAATGTCGCCGAAAGGGAGAGTTCATGAAATGGGAGGAAATTCAAAAGTCCTCCTACTGGAGAGCATCTCCAGGTCAACGACAAGCGAAATGGTTCATCAACCATTCGCAGAACCGATCCAAAGAGCTACTCAGCCTCAGCAAAGCGGAGCTAAAGCTTATCACATGCTTTCTCACGGGACACTGCCATCTGAGGTACCACCTCAAAAAGATACTTTGCTCATGTAAAGTATTCGTTCGATCGAGTCTGGCACCACGGACTCCTCGCCAAGCTTCCATCTTATGGCTTGCCTCCCCAGCTATGTTCTCTGCTAGCTAGTTTTCTCTCAAACAGGTCTCTCCAATCTCCATGTAGTGATCGACGGAGAATCATCTGACTATCTTATCATAAATGCTGGTGTTCCGCAAGGATCAATTCTAGCACCAACACTATTTCTACTCCATAATATCAACGATTTTTTGGAAGCACCTTTATGTCCAGTACACAGCTTCGCGGATGATAGTACCCTCCATACCGTCTTCCAGGGCTCCAATACCAGACAGGCAAATCAGAAACGAACGAGGGAGAAATGTTGACAACATGAATATGGACTTGACAACAATTCTCAGATGGGAATCCAATAGCTATATAGTATGCCTTTTCTCTAGAAGAGCCGATCTCACTGTGCCCAACATAACCATACCTTTGAAGACATCCATTTCGATGCTTGGTATTACTATCAGCAATAACCTTTCTTGGGAAAATCACATGAGATCAATTGCTGAAAGTGCATTCCAAAAACCTGGTTTTCTGTTTCGGGCCAGGAGCTATATTCCACTTCCAGTCAGCTGCTTATGGGCTATAAGGGACAGATCTGACCTGGCCTGGAATACTGTTCCCATATTTGGAGTGCAGCACCCAAACATACCCTGAACCTGTTGGATTCTGTCCGAAAAAGGGCAATTATTCGTCTCGTGGGTGATGCCTCGCTCCCAAACTCACTCACTTCTCTGGAACACCGTAGAGAAGTTGGCAATCTGGCTCTATTTCATAGATATTTTCATGGACAATGTTCTTCTGAAATATCAACAATATTTCCTCCCTTGGCAGTCCCCGCGAGATTAATTCGTCGAGTTGAGGCTTCGCACCCCTTCGTGGTCACTTTGGAGACCTGCAGAACATCTCTTTCCAAAGACTCGTTCATCCAACGAACAGCGAGGCTCTGGAAAACATTGCCAAGGGAGTTGTTTTTTGAGGCATATAACCTCCAGAAATTCAAGAAGAACACCAATTTCTACGTTATTCACCTTGGTTCTCACGAAGTTCTCTGAACATTACTGAACAGCACAGGATATCCCTTTTCGTGGGGGCGAGAACATACAAAAAAAAATTTGGCTGCCAAAGGCTGAATCACAACTTGTTACGGATTAGTAATTCACGCCGAAAAACTCCTAAAGCACGAGTATTTTCGACGTAAATCACCCTGTATGGACGATAAGTCTACTGATCATTGGTGTATATTGTCATGACCGCTCCAATATGGAATTATTGACCCAAGGTCCAATATATTGCACCTCCAGACGAAAGTAATCATAATTGGCTGAATTAGAGTTGTCCAATTGAAGGAGGTCGTAATCTTCAACAATCGAGATATTCAGGCACATTGATTTCATTCAATGTGTTCAATTTTTCTAATTACGAATGATCGTGAATGAATCGGAATACATCGAGAAATTTATATAGTCCAGTCAACAATGTTCCAGATAATGGAGAAGATGAAAATCAAAACATTGTGCGGCGTTCGCAACCAAACTTTTTACATTTTACTTTTCAAGTTTCGTATTCTGATTGGTGAAGCAAAATCTGGAATTGAAATGGAGCGAAAAGCTGAATATTTTTAGCTTTTTGCGTTGCAAGATGCGCCATCGTTTGGGAAAATAGACAAATAATATTGTTATAAAAATGAAACATACTACTGTAAGTTGTGATTCGAAGAGAATGATACATTTTCATGGAACTTTCTATGGAAGTTATAATGATGTTTTTGCCTATAATTTTTACTGTTTAATTTCTTTTCTTTTTTATTAATATTTCGCTTCGCAAGTATTGAATAAGGAGCAATTTACGTATCCACCAGTTCTATATGAATAGGTATAATTCATATCAATATCATTGGCAACGGAAAAAAGCCGTAAAAACACACGTTGACGTTTTTTTTTTGGGAATGACGTTTGATTCAGTTCAATTCACGTTTAATTTCAGAATACACAACTTGAAAAGGAAAACGTGGAAACTTCGATTGTGAACGCCGCTTTATTCATGAGTGTAATATATTTTTGCGTGTTACACTCACTAACTGAAATTATTGATGAACCAAGTTGGTACATAACTTTTGCGTGGAAGATCAATCATTGGTATAGTACTGAAATAATACACAGTCAACACCGAGTTCCTAAATGTACTCGATATTGGTTGTTTTGACGTTATTGAACAAATACAAAACGTCAAAACAGCAGTGTCAAGAACATTGAGGAACTCTAATAGTCAATATAGACCTTCAAATCGAACTGAAAAAGCTGATATTTAGGTTGGATGATTTCTTTTTGTTTCAGGTCCTGGGTTCCAAATCCGAATACCATTTTATCAATCATGCGATACCCATCGCTCGAACGAAACGAAGCATACCTCACATGAGAAAACTGAAAGTTGATCCATTGGTAAGCACAAAACATAATAAAGTCCTTCTGAAGAAGCTCTTGATACAAATCGATTTTCAATCTATTTTCTTTATATTCACAAGAAAAAATTAAATACACATAACATCCGTTATTCTTCAAATCTCAATGGAAAGCAGAAATCAAAAATAAATCACACAAAGAGTTTGTATATACTTTGCGTCGGTTAAATTCCGCTCTCCAGATTCCGAAAATCGAATGATATTTTGGCTGAACCATTTGAAAATATTGTCGCGGACGTCATTTCATAAACGTGAATCACCCTGTATATTTAATAGTTTCTTATGAATGTGTCAAATTGAGATGAAAAGTGGGCCCGTTTCAGGAGATTTCACAAAAATGGATAGTTTGGTTGAAAATGAATGTAGGTATTCAGTAATTTATGAAAGCACCTGGACTATTCGATTCTACCTCAGGCTTGTTGATGTTTGTTATGTTTGGTTATTTTTACGAAGACGGTGAACGAAAATAACGAAAATGTTTTCAATGTTTGCAAGATTTATCTCTCTATTAAGCTAATTGTGACATCGATCTAACAATTTTGGATCAATTGCAACATCGATCTTGCAATTAAAATAATTGCAACATCGATATCTGGTGATTAGAGCTTATTTGACATATCGATCTTGCAATCGAGCTCGATCTGGCATTCAGTGCTCAATTATCAGATCGATTTGACAATCAATAACCTAAATTGAGATAATTGCAACATCGATCTATCAATTAGTGCTCCTTCGACAGATCGATCATGCGATAATGAAGCTCAATTTGCAAAATCGATCTGGCAATTAGTGCTCAATCATCAGATCGATCTGACCATTATTAATAACCTTAATTGGGATAATTGCAACATCGATCTGATAATAAGTGCTCATTTGACAAATCGATCTAGCAATAATTAAGCTCAATTGCAATATCGATCTAAATGGAAATTTGATATTTTTTCTATATACCTTTATTTCTCTTCTCCAAACTTTTTTCGGTACAAATTGTCACTGACAAGCTAGTGAATTTTTCATTTAGGGTAATTCTTTGAACGCAGTGATATTTCGGGGCAAATCATCTGATTTGTCCTAACTACACGTATATTGAAATTTCATTTTACAGAAACGAAGAGAGAAAATCCTAAAAATCTGGAATAATGGAAAGTAGTACTCAATTATCAGATCGATCTGAAAATTAATATCCTTAAATACGATGATTGAAAATCAATCTGACAATTGGTGGCAGATTATCAGATCGATTCGACAAATAATAACCGTGATAAGGATAATTGCAACATCGATATGTCAAGTAGTTCTTAATTGTCAGATCGATGTTGCATTAATTAAGATCAATTGCAACATCGATCTGGCAAATAGTCCTCATTAATTATCATATTAATTTGACAATTGAAGGCATTCGATCCGTGTTTGGCACGAAGGACTCCTCCACAAGCTACCATCATACGGCTTACCACCTCAGCTATGCCATCTCTTATCGAGTTTTCTTTCAGGCAGATCGCTTCACGTGGTAGTGGACGGTGTATCGTCAGATACCATTGGCATCAATTCCGGCGTTCCACAAGGATCAATTTTGGCACCAACATTATTCCTGCTTCATATCAATGATCTGTTGGGAGTAACAACTTGCCCCATCCACAGCTTTGCAGATGATAGTACCCTCCATACTGCTTTCTCTTCCAGAATTCCCATTTCTTCCCAGGAAACTAAGACCTCACGGTGCAGGCAGGTCAATGCTGTCAATGAAGATCTTGCTGAAATCACAGCCTGGGGAACAAACAACCTAGTTGAATTCAACGCCACCAAAACTCAAGCCTGCATTTTCTCTAGAAAGGCGGAACTGAGTATGCCCGATATTGTAATGTCTGGCTCCACCATCCCCACCAAGCCCACCATATCTATGCTCGGTATTTCCATCACCAACACTCTTTCATGGGATAATCATGTCAGATCCATCGCAAAAGCTGCTTCCCAAAAACTCGGATTCTTGTTCCGTGCGAAAAACTACTTTACACCTCAACAGCTTCTCATGATCTACAAAGCGCAGATACGGCCTGTTCTAGAATACTGTTCCCACATATGGGGTTCAGCACCAAAACATACGCTGATGCTCTTAGATTCCATCCAGAGAAGAGCCATTCGCCTGGTGGGTGACGCCACACTCACTCACTCTTTGGCATCATTAGAACACCGTAGAAAGGTCGGCGACCTTTCACTTTTCTATCGATACTTCCACGGGAAATGTTCTTCGGAAATCTCAGCTATCGTCCCTTCACTGGCAATACCAATCAGACGAACTAGACAAGCCCAGTCAGCACATCCTTTCGTTGTCAACCTCGAAAGATGTCGAACAGCACTTTATCAAGACTCCTTCATCCATAGAACGGCTAGGCTGTGGAATCCATTGCCTGTGGAAGTGTTCCCAACAACATATAATCTCCAAAAGTTCAAAAAAAATTCCAATACCTACCTCCTGTCCCTATCCTCCCTAGGAACGCACGATGTTCTTTGAACATTATAGGGATTCCCTCTCGTGCGCTCCAAGCGATAAAAAAAAAAAAAAAAAAAAAAAAAAAAAAAAAAAAAAAAAAAATAACCTCAATCGAGATAATTGCAACATCGATCTGGCGATTAGTGCTCATTTGTCTGATCGATGTTGCAAAAGGCAGAAGCCGAATTAACCCATGAATAAAGAAAACGCAATATACCTACCCTCGTTTTGTTATTCCCTCTAGAACCAATCAGAATCGACCTTTTTCACGGTTTCTACTGTATTACAGCGATGTTTACTAAAAGTTATCGTACCTGCTTTTCACGGTTTCTACTGTATTACAGCGATATTTTTTGTTTACTAAAAGTTATCGTACCTGCTTTACCAATACAGAAGCCGAAGACCCACATATGATATGACCAACCAACCTCATTTTCAGCGATAAAAAGTGTGACAATCAACAACGACAATGGATGAGGACCTAGGACCTGTAGTTTTGCTGGAAAATGAGATAATCCGTTTTTTACCCTTAAAATCTCACCCCCTTCCCTTTACCGGCCTCAGATCGCCCGTGAATAATATTCCTTTTCATCTTCGTTATAGTCTTCTTTAACCAATAAATATCATTCTTCAATATCTAGAATATACCTTAAAAGTCATTAAAGGATGTCCCAGAGACATTTTGAATACTGCCTAAAGTTGTTCTCCTGTCATGTCTTAAGACGTTATTAGGATGTAGGATGTAGAGATTGGTAACAGGAGCACGTCCTAAGGACGTCCCCGTGCTTGCCCTCGACGACTTGAGGACATTATTATTATTGTAAACGCCTCAGAAGGGCCCCTCAAAAGGTATTTGTGCTATCTGGGTATAACCTTTGAGTATTCACACAGTGTATATAATCAATGGTATAACTCGAAACGTTCGATCTCTAGATTCATACGGCGATCCAGCAGCCCGGCTTCGTTCGAGTCAAGCGAGGCTACAAGCCCCTGAAAGTGGAGAACCTCGTCAAGAACATCGAACCTCACGAAGATCCCACCGATCCGTACTTCCCCTTTCAGTGGTACCTGAAGAACACTGGCCAGAATGGCGGGAAGAGCAAGCTGGACTTGAACGTAGAAGCGGCTTGGGCGCAGGGGGTCACCGGGAAGAACGTTACCACCGCCATCATGGACGACGGTGGGTTTTCGAATGAATTGAGATAGTTCAACCCTTAAAATCAATAGTTATTATTTATTATACCAGGAAAAAAAGTAGTAGATTTTTTTCTGTGGCAGCAGAAAGGACGAATCAATATTGAGAAGATATTACATTATTTTGAAATCTGAAAATCATCGATGTGAAATATTGAGTTTTTAACAGTAGGGACACCTGCGTTGTAGGCATCTTTATCATTCTTTTGAAGTAATCAAATATTGGATCTCACTTCTGTCAGTCTAATTTTGTGATTTGATTTCAAAAAATTGCGAATTTAGTGGTTGTTTAGTAATATACGTAACCACGAAGTCGAATGGAAGATAAAAGGACTTGCAGTTCTTTCTCGGAGACGGTATTATTGACTCATTTTTCAGTACTATAGCACAACAAAAGCCATCAACAGTGTATATGTAATATATATCCGGGAAAAAAGTAATTTATTCAAAGTGACATTTTATAACCTGCCAACAGAGATGAAATGCCAAACTTTTTCCCGTCACAGAAAAAAAATCATTATTAGACTCTGAACTAAACTGCTGATCAATCGAACCGCATCAAGCATATTTTTGCTCTAAATTCATCATTGAATATTCTCGCGAAAATTCCATTTATGCGGATGCGGTTTTCTTCATTCTGAAGATTGATCCATTGGGTATATGACAGATAGACCACTGATGGTAATACATGGTAACCTTTGGCTATACAGGGTGACAAACAATAACCTCTGCAAAATATTGAAAAATTCCCCATACTCCCAATTTGGTGGAAAATTTTTGAGATTTTTCTCGAGCTGATTTTCATAATTCTCAAGCCTATTCCTCGAAATGGTTTCGCAATTTTTCTCTTATCTTTCCAGATTTCCGAGAAATAGATTTTTTTTTCGAAAAATGTGATAATTTGACCTACCGACCAAAAATATTCTTATTTGTCTATTCCTCTGAATAGAAAATGTTCAATTTAGAGCAAAAATGTGCTTGTTGCGGTTCGATTGATCAGCAGTTTAGATCACATAGCTAATAAATCTAGGATGAACAGACCGAGAGCGGATGATGAGGCCTGGTGGACCGAAACAGTACTGTCTCGCTCCTGCTGACGATTGGGGCAACTCTGTTCTACCTAGATCGCGAAAGTTTTAATGGTGGGTGCGGTATGGTGTGGGGAGGGATTTCAATGGATGGAAAGATACCCCTTCATGTTTTTCCGGTGAGGCAGTCGATGAATCCCCAAATTTACATTGACATTTTAGAGCAGTATGTCTTACCTTATGCAGAGATAGTGGGCAATAATTTTATATTGATGCAGGATAATGCCCGACCACACACCGCAGCAATAGTGCGAAACTTAGAAGCTACTGGTATTACCACATTACAATGGCCTGCGAGAAGCCCCGATATGAATCCTATAGAACATTTGTGGGAAGAATTAGGGAGAAGGGTACGTTCTCGCGAGAGGTCTCCGGAAAGTCTCGCAGAAATGGCAGATGCATTAGTGGAAGAATGGGATCGTATACCAATGGAAACGATAAGCAACTTAATTTCCAGTATTTCTCGTAGATTAGAAGTTCTTAGAGTTGCTAGAGGAGGCAATACACGGTATTAAGCAGTCATCCCAATATATAATTCTGTGTTTAATAAAAATGTTTTTTAAAATTATTGGTATTAGTTCATTTCATTAGAAAATTGTTTCTCGATAAATTCAGAAAGTTGGTAATCTGCAAGGATTCAGCAAAAAAAAGCTGTAATTTGAAAAATCTTAGAGATGAATCAATGAATAAAAAACAAAATGCTCGCAAAAGAAGCCACTTTCGTATAGGTTGTGAGCACTTTCTATGCCATTATTCAATTAACACACAGGGTGAGTCAAAAATTAAGAATAAATCATGGTTAGAGTTATTCCACCACCATCAAGGAGGCTTTGAAAAAATGTTCACCTCTTCTCAAAAAAAAAAAGTTTCTTTATGGTGTCCCCCTAGCTTTCCTGCTGGCGACGCCATTGCGATCCTGTATAATAATGACATCTTCTTCGTTAATTTCAGGAGTCGACTACATGCATCCGGATTTGAAATTTAATTACGTGAGTATAAAGCGAACACGTCATTTTGTCACTACTTGACTCCATTCGCATTCAACGAATTCCGTTCCAGAACTCCAAAGCCAGCTATGACTTCAGCAGTAACGACCCTTATCCGTATCCGAGGTACACTGACGACTGGTTCAACAGGTAATTCGAGATTAATTATTCAAATTCCTCGTAATCCTCGTAATTTGAGTGGCAAGATGTGGAAACTTCAGTATTTCTCCTCTCCCTGTCCTCCCTATGTACGCATGATGTTCCACGAACATTATAGGAATTTCCTTTCGTGCGCTCCAAGAGATCAACAAAATTCCACACTTATACAGGGTAGTCTTCAAATAATTTTAAACAGAACATTATATATTGATTATGTCACTAAGAAAATAAGATGCCTCATTCCTAAATTCAAACATTTGAAAAACTTATTGAATATTCGTAATTTAGAAGTGATTATGTTTTAGTTCAATCTCAATTAGTTTATGGGATATAAGGATGGGGTGGAGTGAAGCAAATATATTTGAGGAAATTCGAAATTGCACAATAATGAATTTTATGAATTATTTATGGAGAAGATTATTTGTTACCCACTTTACTCTTACATAAGGAATCTAAGAAAATGGATAAAAATCAACTTTACATATTATATATATATCTATATATATATATACCTGATTAATATTTTCAAAAATAGGAAGGACATTCAGTTCAGAGAACATGTCTATGACATAAGAAATGGAAATAAACAAGTCAATTGGACGTAGAAATTACAAATTTCCAATTCCTTATCTATATAATAAAATTCCAAATAATATCATAAAAACAAAATCACTACAATCCTATACGATGAAAATAAAAAACTGGATTTTAGACTCCCCTAAAAATGATTTTATCTCTTTAATTAACATTCAATAATATGATTAAATTGTCAAACTAGTCCATATAAATATAAATAATTATACGTATTGAATGAAATGCTCAGTACACTATATATTATGAATTGAATACTTGTCTCATTTCTTAATGAGACAATTTGTCCCTTGTGATTATTTAATATTGTTAAATATTTATTGACCTATATGTACATTTGTTTCTTATCCTTACTACAAGGTTCACTTCGGAAGGTTTTTTCCCAGTTTATTCAAAATACCTATCTGTATGTTCCAATGTATATTTTGTAAACGTTTTTGAATGAACTTATATTATTATTTTTATTATCATTATTATTATTGTCATTATTATTTTCTCCAATAACTTTGACAGTTTTCCCATAGGTGTAGAAGGCCCACAACTTTAGTTCGAACTGACAATAGGCTATAGTCATTGGCTCAATATCAATGATTGCCCGAAATATGCACCTTTCCACACTAGTTATGTAATATACCATTGCACATAATGGAATTAAAATATGCTGTGATGTGATGATAATCTTTATTTTTCTTCAAAACGAAGTTACAAGATTTATAGGAATCGTCGAAAAAAACAAGAATAAAAAAAAGGAGATCGGAGATCTCGAAAATCTCGAAAAAAAGAAGATGAAAACTACCTACGTATACACAAAAATTCTTCAAAACTATAATAACACTTATCAACAAAAAAATTCTTGAGTATTCGTTTGACCATTGAAACAGTTTTGGATTCTTTTATAAAATCTGGTGGTAGCAAATTATAAACACGTGGAGCCATCTGGTCAGGAGATTCGAATGCTAATTTGGTTTTTCCAAATGTTACAAAAACATTGTTTTTTGTCTTGTATCAATATTATGTTTACATTCATTCAGTTCAAACAATTTATTTCTATTCTCTAACACAGAAAAACACAAGTCAAAAATTAAAAGACTAGGGACTTTTGAAATTTTTCAAAGCTGATGGTCTGCATGAATCAAAGAGACCTATGCCACTAATGTTTCGTAGTATTTCTTGTGCTATGAAGACATCAGAGCAGCTTTTTTTTGTTTATGTTCTGGTTCCCACGAAAAGCGATATTCTGCAATGTTCAGAGAACATTGTGAGAACCAAGGGGAATAAGGTAGGAATTGGTGTTCTTCTTGAATTTCTGGAGGTTATATGCCTCGGGGACCACTTCCCTTGGCAATGTGTTCCAGAGCATCCCTGTTCGTTGGATGAACGAGTCTTTGGAAAGAGATGCTCTGCAGATCTCCAAAGTGACCACGAAGGGGTGCAAAACCTCAACTCGACGGGTTAATTTCGCGGGGACTGCGAAGGAAGGAACAATTGTTGATATTTCAAAAGAGCATCGTCTATGGAAATATCTATAAAATAGAGCCAGATCGCCAACTTTCCAGAGAAGTGAGTGAGTTTGTGAGCGAGGCATCACCCACGAGACAAATTGCCCTTTTTTGGACAGAATCCAACAGTTTCAGGGTATGTTTGGGTGCTGCAGTCCAAATATGGGAACAGAATTCCAGGACAGATCGGATCAGCGCCTTATCATAAGCAACTGACTGGCAGTGAAATAGCTCCTGGCCCGAAACAGAAAACCAAGTTTTTGGGATGCACTTTCAGCCAATAATATCGTGATTTTCCCAAGAAAGGTTATTGCTAATAATAATACCAAGCATCGAAAAGGATGTCTTCAAAGGTATGGTTAGGTTCTCCTGACAAGCTTATGTTGGGCACAGTGAGATCGGCTTTTCAAGAGGAAAGGCATGCTTGTGTTTTGTTTGCATTGAAATCTATCAAGTTATTGGATCCCCATTCGAGAATTTTTGCCAAGTCCATATTTATGTTGTCAACATTTCTTCCTCGTTCGTTTCTGATTTGCCTGGCTGGTATTGGAGCCCTGGAAGAGAAGACGGTATGGAGGGTACTATCATCCGCGGAGCTGTGTACTTTCTCTCAACTGTGGTACTGGACATGAAGTTGCTTTCAACAAATCGTTGATATGAAGTAGAAATAGTGTTGGTGCTATAATCAATCCTTGCGGAACACCAGCATTTATGATAGGAGAGTCAGATGAAACTCCGTCGACCACTACATGGAGATACCTGTTTGAGAGAAAACAAGCTGGCAGAGGACATAGCTGGGGAGGCAAGCCATAAAAGATGGAAGCTTGGTGAGGAGTACGTGGTGCCAGACTCGATCGAATGCCTTGTATATATCATATTATATTCATATTCACCAAATTTTCCAATAGATATATGTGAGACGAAAGCGAGCAGGTCACCAGTTGATCTCTGATGACGGAAGCCATATCGCCTATCGTTGATAATACCTGAATGTTCCAGGTATTTCATGAGCTCGATGTTGATAGCTTTCTCCATGATCTTTGAAATAATAGATAGCAGTGCGATCGGTCTGTAGTTGCTACGTAGGGTCTTTGTGCCTTTTTTAGCAACTGTTTGTACTCTTGCAATCTTCCAGTTGAACGGGAATATCCCGAATTTGTAAGAGTGGTTGAACAACTTGCAGAGAGTAGGTGTTAGTTCGGGAGCACATTTCTTGTTGTTACAGTGTCAGAATTATCATTAGCTCTGATAAAGAATGAGGAGGAACATGTATGTTCTATAGCCAATTTGCTGTTGTTATTGAAGATTCCTTCACCATTTTTTTCATGATTCTTGACTTTTTTTCAGTCATGGTACCCGTTGTGCAGGAGAAGTAGCAGCTGCTAGAGATAACGGAGTGTGTGGTGTTGGAGTCGCATACGATTCTAAAATTGCTGGTACGTCTGAAATACAACTCAAATTTCTTTCTCCGGTATTCACCAACGTTAACATGATTAGGAAAAAAGAAATCAATATTGAGGGAGTTAAAAAACTAAATATCGGTGCCCATGTATTTTTTTGTCAACATCAAGAAAGCCATGACAAATAGAGAACTTTCAAAGGAAATGAGGATATATGGAAGCCATACACGGTATTCTGGATCGATGATCTATATTTTTTGCCATAATTTGATGGAGCTCGTCAATATGAAAACAAATATATACAGGGTGTAAATTTGAAAACTTCCAATGCGAATATCTCGCGAAAGAAAAAAGTTAGAAAAACGCCGTTTGGCAAAAATGCTTAAGAGTTAAGGGGAACTAGAACCACCATATTTCGGTCAAGGGATGAGTCACCCCGTCGGCGCGACACACCCCAACTTTGAAATGTCAAATGGCACTACCTTTTTTGTGATGCCTCAAATGAACAGTCTCAGTCAGTAGTATTCACCTGTACAAGACTTTTTTTCCACCCACTACAGGGTGTACGAAAAATATAAAGTCGAATAAAATAAAATGAATTGTGTTAAAGGGATATTTTATTTGATCAGATGTTCAAAATACATTCCATTCTGTTGTAAGCAATAGTATAATCGATGTTCAAATGCCATTCTAACATTTTGGAACACATCTCTTGGAATATATCGGCATTCTGCATTTTATTTTATTCGACTTTATGTTTTCCGTTCACCCTGTAGTGGGTGGAAAAAAAGTCTTGTGCAGGTGAATACTACTGACTGAGACCGTTCATTTGAGGTATCACAAAAGAGGTAGTGCCATTTGACATTTCAAAGATGGAGTGTGTCGCGCCGACGGGGTGACTCATCCCTTTACTGAAGTATGGTGGTTTTAGTTCCTCCTAACTCTGTAGCATTTGTGCCAAACGGCGTTTTCCTAACTGTTTTATTTAGCGAGATATTCGCATTGAAAGTTTTCAAATTTAGACCCTCGAATTAATGTTTTTCGTACACCCTGTAGTGGGTGGAAAAAAAGTCTTGTACAGGTGAATACTACTGACTGAGACCGTTTATTTGAGGTATCACAAAAAAGGTAGTGCCATTTAACATTTCAAAGTTGGGGTGTGTTGCGCTGACAGGGTGACTCATCCCTTCACGGAAATATGGTGGTTCTAGTTCCCCTTAACTCTTTAGCATTTTTGCCGAGCGGCGTTTTTCTAACTTTTTTATTTCGCGAGATATTCGCATTGAAAGTTTTCAAATTTACACTCTGTATATCATAAATATATTATTATCAAATGAAATTCGAATCATCTCATTCGAAAATACAATTTTGTTCTTAGTCACCCTATATATATTTATAAAGGAAAATAACTCGTGAGAAATTATTCCAGGAAAGTTTTTGAATGACCAAAATACGTTGAGAAATACGAGAATAAAAAAGGGTGACACATTCAAGTGGGACACCCTATACATACAGGTAAAGCTAATAAGAGGGTGTTGAAAACACTTTAACGCTCTGTAGATCGGTAGAGGAACGTTCGCGGACACATTTTCATCGGAAAAAGTCTTATTTTGATCTAAAAAATAAGCCTCTGGAATCCTGATACTGAAATTTGAAACACCTTGTATACGAGTATAAGTCGACAATTTTTCAGGTATAAGAATGCTGGACCAACCTTACATGACGGACCTGATCGAGGCCAACTCGATGGGGCACGAGCCGAACCTCATCGACATCTACAGCGCCTCCTGGGGCCCCACAGACGACGGCAAAACGGTGGACGGGCCTAGAAACTCCACCATGAGGGCCATCGTCCGAGGAGTAAACGAGGTGAGTGAGTAGCATCCCATGTCCATGGAACACCTAACAGTTATTCGAAATACAAAAAAAACATGTGTGCTCGAATTGGAGTCAGGTACCGCCTAAGCACCTGCAGATAATTTTTGGGCTTTTTGTTATCATCTGAATCTCAATATAACCCACTGTAGCGAATATGCGAGTGATTCTTTCTTGAATGTAGATATCTTCGAGATACTTTTTTTAATGTTCTGGTTCCCACGAAAACGGATATCCTGTAATGTTCAGAGAACATCGTGAGAACCAAGGAAAATAAGGTGGGAACTGGTGTTCTTCTTGAATTTCTGGAGGTGATATGTCTCTGGGAACACCTCTCTTGGCAATGTGTTCCAGATCCTCGCTGTTCGTTGGATGAACGAGTCTTTGGAAAGAGATGTTCTGCAGGTCTCCAAAGAGACCACGAAGGGGTGCGAAGCCTCAACTCGACGGGTTAATCTCGCGGGGACTGCCAAGGAAGGAACAATTGTTGGTATTTCGGAAGAGCATCGCCCATGAAACTATCTATAAAATAGAGCCGGATCGCCAACTTTATTACGGTGTTCCAGAGAAGTGAGTGAGTTTGAGAGTGAGGCATCATCCACGAGACGAATTTCCCTTTTTTGGACAGAATCCAACAGTTTCAGGGTATGTTTGGGTGCTGCACTCCGAATATGGGAACAGTATTCTAGGACAGATCGGATCTGTGCCTTATAGATCGTAAGCAGCTGACTGGAAGCTCCTGGCCCGAAACAGAAAACCAAGTTTTTGGGATGGACTTTTAGCAATTGATCTCACGTGATTTTCTCAAGGAAGGTTATTGCTGATAGCAATACCAATCATCGAAATGGATGTCTTCAAAGATATGATTACTCCTGACAAGCTTATGTTGGGCACAGTGAGATCGACTTTTCTAGAAAAAAGGCATGCTTTCGTTTTGTTAGCATTGAAATCTACCAAGTTATTGAATCCCCATTCGAGAATTGTTGCCAAGTCCATATTTATGTTGTCAACATTCCTCCCTCGTTCGTTTCTGATTTGCCTGGATGATATTGGAGCCCTGGAAGAGAAAGCGATATGGAGGGTACTATCATCCTCGAAGCTGTGTACTGGACATGAAGTTGCTTCCAACAAACCGTTGATATGGAGTAGAAAAAGTGTTGGTGCTAGAATTAATCCTTGCGGAACACCAGTATTTATTGTAAGAGAGTTAGATGAAACTCCGTCGACCACTACATGGAGAGACCTGTTTGAGAGAAAACTAGCTAGCAGAGAACATAGCTGGGGAGGCAAGCCATAAGATGGAAGCTTGGCGAGGAGTCCGTGGTGCCAGACTCGATCGAATACTTTGGAGATATTAAGTGCCACGGCTAAGGTTTCACCATATTTTTCAATAGATTGGTGCCATGTTGCCTATCGTTGATAATACCTGAATGTTCCAGGTATTCCATGAGCTCGATGTTGATAGCTTTCTCCATGATCTTTGAAATAATAGATAGCAGTGCGATCGGTCTGTAGTTGCTAGGTAGGGTCTTTTTGCCTTTTCCAGAAACTGGTTTCACTCTTGGAATTTTCCAGTTGAACGGGAATATCCCCAATTTGTAAGGGTAGTTGAACAACTTGCAGAGAACAGGTGTTAGTTCGGGAGCACATTTCTTGAGAACAATCGGTGGGATTCTGTCGGAGCCACAAGCTTTGTTGGTGTTGAGACCCAATAAAATCGTCCTTATAGTACCTACGTTGGCGAAAGGTGATCTCGGGCATATGACTGTCAATTGGCGTTATGTTTGGAGGTTGTTTTTCCGATGAATCCAGAGTAGATATCCAGCAAATAAATGCGCAAAAATGTTGGCTTTCTCCTGGGCAGTTGTGGCTAGTGTTCCATCTTCCTTGGTAAGAGGAGGAAACTAGCTGGAAGTGAAGTTTCTTCCTACAGCTTTGGCGAAGGACCAAAATGATCCGGATCCGTTAGGGCATTCAACAAGTTTTGATCTTATTTTGGAATGTGTGAATATGAAATATATTGGTCTTGCATGTCCTGTGATTGGGTGCCTCACCTGTTTGAACAATAAACGGTTTTTTTTTATGAAGGGCCGCAACGGGCTGGGCAACATCTACGTATGGGCGAGCGGCGATGGCGGCGAAGACGACGACTGCAACTGCGACGGCTACGCGGCCAGCATGTGGACGGTGAGCATCAACAGCGCCATCAACGACGGCCAAAACGCGCACTACGACGAGAGTTGTTCGTCCACCTTGGCGTCGACGTTCAGCAATGGCGCCAAGGATCCCAACACCGGCGTGGTAAGTGACGCGCATCGCGATCTGCCATTCATCTATTCGCGTGCGGTAAGGCGGTCTTTATAGCACTAGTAGAATAAAGTACACTATATCGAACTAGTGAGATAAACACCACGTTATCACATGCTCATTACAATAATGTTTTGAATAAAAATTCGTGCTAGTGCGATGATGGCAGATATTTCATACGTCTTCCTTTATGGTGGAATCAAGTCCACTTCAATCACTCTGTTTCAGTCCCGGTTATATCCGGCACAAGTGAATGTTTGTTATACATAGTATTCGTTAATGTGGTTTGGAATGTTTTTTTGGAGAATTCATTTTAGCAATCGATGAAATTTCTTCTCGTTACAATATATGGAGGATATTTTGATATTGATCAGGATCAGAATAATATACAGTAAATGTATGTTGAAAAAAAAAAATACCGAAAAAATAACAATAATTTATTACAGTCGTAAAACATCAGATCGTTATTTCATCAGAATATTGAAAAAAACTGATACTCAAAAACCTTGAATTAATAGATAAGTAATGAATCAGCAGAATCGTGATATTCCAAAACCGTAGGTCAGCATAACCGTAAAATTTCAGACTGTGAACCAACAGAATCGTAAAATGTCACAGTGGATATATTAAAATAAAAACAAACAAAGAGCAAATCTCAGCAAAATCTCAAATTGATAAACTTGTGATTTGGCAACATCGAGAAAATTTCAGATCCGCAAATCAGCAGAGTTGTAATATTTCAGAACTGTAAATCAGCATAATTATAAATCGTGAAACAGACCGTTAACTAGCAGATCCGTAAACTGTAAAACTATTAAAATTCAGTTCCGTAAAACAGCACAATCTCAAAATGTTAGACCCGTACATTGGTATAAACATCAAAAAGAAATAATCGTAGTAAGATAGATCCGTAAATTGGCATAATCGTAAAGAGTAAAATGCACAAATTAGCAAAACCATAAATTATTGTTGGTAATTACCAGACCCCTTTCCAGGCAACTACCGATCTGTACGGCAAATGCACTACCACTCATTCCGGCACTTCTGCAGCTGCTCCGGAGGCCGCAGGTGTGTTCGCCCTCGCCCTAGAAGCCAAGTAAGTTAAAATCGATATATCAGGAGATCACAATACTGAAAAATACCACAAGAACGATGAACCAAATCAATCTTTCAATGAATCGATATATCAAAAAATTGATATATCAAAAGATAGATAATTATATTAAAAGATCGATATACCGAAAGATCGATATATCAAAAGAACAATATTACAAAAAATCTATATCAAGAGAGCGATCTATCAAAAGATCGAAATATAAAATGGATATATCAAAAGATCGATATCTCGAAAGATCGGTATGTCAAAAAAGATTGATAAATCGAAAGATCGAATGATCCCAAGATTGATATATCGAAGAATCGATATATCAAGTAGTCGATATATCAAAAATCATTTTATCAAGAGATCGATTTACGGAAAATCGATATATCGAAAGATAGATGAATCAGAAGATCGATATATCAAAAGTCATGTATAAAAAAATCTTCATATCCAAAGATCGATATAAATGATCGAAGGTCGATATATCAAAATATCGAAATATCGAGGAATCAATGTATCGGAAGATTGATATATCGAAAGATCATTATATCTATCGGAAGATCGCTATATAAAAAGATCGGTATATCAAAAGATTGATATATCAAAAGATCGATATAGCAAAAGATCGATGTATCAAAATATCGTTGTATCAGAAGATCGATTTATCAAAGTATCAATATATCAAAAGATTGATATATCAGAAGATGAATCATCGAAAGATCGTTTTTTCATTATTCCAGATTTTTTGGGATTTTCTCTCCTCGTTTCTAGAAAATAAAAATATGAATATTATTTCAATATACGTGTAGTAAGGACAGATCAGATGATATGCCCCAAAATGTCACTGTGTCTCAGCTTTGAACGTTTCGGGAGCGTGCTCCTGTTTTCAACATAAAAAATGGATTTTTTTTGTATTGCAAATTCGTATTTGTCCTGACACTTTTGAGTTCTCAGTCACAATTGGTGACGTTTTCAATCAAATGAATCAAAGGATATTATCATTGATTAAACTTGAATTTACCATTTTCATTTTCAGATTTCAATAGTGAATACCATGTTCTATATTTTAAAGAAAACATCCTGTATCTATTAATGAAAACATCCTGTTACTCATTTGATTGCTAAAGTCAACAATTGTCACTGAGAACTGAAAAATACGAATTATTTAGCTATTCAAATATCCATTTCTTATGTTAAAAACGGGAGCAGATTTGTTCCCGAAACATCCAAAGCTAAGTGAAAATTTGATATTTTTTCTATATACCTTTATTTCTCTTCTCCAAACCATTGTCAATACAAATTGTAACTGACAAGCTAGTGAATTCTTCTTTAAGGCTCTCTGATAGAAAAATTCTTTAAATGCAGTGACATTTTAGGGCAAATCATCTGATTTGTCCTTACTACACGTATATTGAAATATTATTCATATTTTTATTTTATAGAAACTAGAGAAAATCCCGAAAAATCTGAAATAATGAATGTACCACCTCCTCGATTAACCTACAGACAGTTCGTTTTTTCTTCTTTTCTTGCTTGTCAATAATTGTCCATTTTTTCTAGTCCGAAACTGACGTGGCGAGACATCCAGCACCTGTCGGTGCTGACGTCGAAACGCAACTCGCTGTTCGACGCCAAGGGACGCTTCCAGTGGACGATGAACGGCGTCGGCCTCGAGTTCAACCACCTGTTCGGCTTCGGCGTACTCGACGCAGGCGCCATGGTGGCGCTGGCTAAGCGGTGGAAGACGGTGCCGCCGCGGTACCACTGCGAGGCGGGCGCAGTCACGGAAATGAAGTGAGTTTTTTTCATTCTTCATTTTGTGTTCTGGTTCCCACGAAAAGGGATATTCTGTAATGTTCAGAGAACATCGTGAGAACCAAGGGAAATGCGAGGTAGGAATTGGTGTTCTTCTTGAATTTCTGGAGGTTATATGCCTCGGGGAACACCTCCCTTGGCAATGTGTTCCAGAGCCTCGCTATTCGTTAAAAGAACGAGTCTTTGGAAATAGATGTACAGCAGGTCTCCAAAGTGACCACGAAGGGGTGCGAAGCCTCAACTCGACGGGTTATTCTCGCGGGGACAGCCAGGGGAGGAACAATTGTTGATATTTCAGAAGAGCATCGTCCATGAAAATATCTATAAAATAAAGCCAGATCGCCAACTTTTTTACGGTGTTCCAGATTAGATTTAGATTAGATTTGGAATGGGGCCTTCGGGCTATCTGCCTCCACACTGCGACCTTTTCAGATCTATTGTGTCTGCCCTCAAAATCGATTAGAGTTCTTCGGCTAGCCCCGCCTTCTCTATGAGACTCCATAGGCTAGCTTTCAGATCTCCTGTGTATCTCTGTGCTCCTGGTTTTTCCTCACCCAGCGTAAGGAACCTTAGTCTTGACAAGCCCTCACAGTGGCAAAGTATGTGTACTGCTGTTTCTTCCTCTTCTCGACAGAACCTGCACTCCTGCACAGCAGTTTTTCAGTCAGACCTATCGTACTCATGTGTTTGTTGAGCCTACAATGCCCTGTGAGAAGTCTCACTAGTATTCTAGTTGAACTTCGTTTCTGGCTTAGTAGATATTCTGTGAATGTTGGCGATGGTTTTTAATAAACTCTTTAGCCTGTCTCATTCCTGGCGAGTTGTTCCATCATTCTTGAGATTTGGTTTGCAGCCATGATTTAATACTAGTCTTTTGTATAGCTTTCGCAATACCACAGAAGGGTTCTGGGCCATTAAGAGCTCTTTGTGCTCCTGCTCGGGCAAGTGAGTCTGCCTCTTCATTGCCCTCGTACCCTGTATTAGCTGGTACCCATGCTAGAGTCAGTCTGTTCTGACTGCCCAGTTCATTTAGGGTTTCTAACCAGTCCCATACTAGGTTTGAGTTAAATTGCATAGAGTTGGCTGCTTTGATTGCCGCCTGGCTATCTTAATAGATTGCAATGGCTTTGCCTTTAAACTCTTGCCTTATCAATTCTTTCACGCAATGATGTATTGCAATAACTTCTGCCTGAAACACCGTCGCGTATTTACCTGAGCTCAGTGAAATTCTTGTCTTTGGCTTGGCCCCATAAATACCAGCTCCTGATCCTTCCTCAGTTTTGGAGCCGTCCGTATAGACAGCAATGTCTGCATTGATAGGAGGTCCTTCCTTCCATGCCTCTCTGTCCGTTATACTTATTTTAAAAGTTTTTTCAAAGCTATATTTTGGAATTATGCCATCCGTTGGCATCCCCATGATGGGGTCGCTTTCCAACTCTTCATATAGCTTCCTATATATAACTTGTCTACGCTGTTCCAGAGAAGTGAGTGAGTTTGTGAGCGAGGCATCACCCACGAGACGAATTGCCCTTATTTGGACAGAATCCAACAGTTTCAGGGTATGTTTGGGCACTGCACTCCAAATATGGGAACAGTATTCCAGGGCAAGTCGGATCTAAGTCTTATAGATCATAAGCAGCTGACTGGAAGTGAAATAGCTCCTGGCCCGAAACAAAAAACACGGCTATTGGGATGCACTTTTAGCAATTATTGATCTCACGTGATTTTCCCAAGAAAGGTTATATTGCTGATAGTAATACCAAGCATCGAAATGGATGTCTTCAAGGGAATGGCTGCTCCTAACACCTAGAAAAAAGGCATGCTTGTGTTTTGTTTGCATTGAAGTCTACCAAGTTATTGGATCCCCATTCGAGAATTGTTACCAAGTCCGTATTTATGTTGTCAACATTTCTCCCTCGTTCGTTTCTGATTTACCTGGTTGGTATTGGAGCCCTGGAAGAGAAGGCGGGATGGAGGGTATACTATCATCCGCGAAGCTGTGTACTGGACATGAAGTTGCTTCCAACAAATCGTTGATATGGAGTAGAAATATAGTGTTGGTGCGATACACAAAAATCGAGAAAAGCGATGTTCTTACTGTGTTTTCAGATTGTCTATCAAAAAAACCGTTGGTTTCTCACGACGCGTCTGAACTGTTAACCAAAATTTTTTTTTCACGAACATTTGCCTAATTTACCGTTGCAACTATAAATCAGGCAGAAGAAATTATTTTTTAAATATCGCCTAATTTACAGTTGCAACTGTAATTAGGCAGAAAAAAAATTCTTTTTAAAACACCTCGTAATATAGTAGCAACTGTGAGTTGGAAATATTTTGAAAAAATTAGTTTCTTGTGCCTAATTCACAGTTGCAACTGTGAATTAGGCAGAGAAAACTTCCTTTTTTAAAACACCTTCTAATTTACAGTTGCAACTGTAAGTTAGGAGTTATTTTGAAAAAACAAGTTTCTTCTGCCTAATTTACAGTTGCAACTGTGAATTAGAACAAAAGACTTTTTCACACATCTCCTAATTTACAGCTGCAACTGTAAATTAGAGTCTCACAGTCTCAGCTATCAGAAAATGGAAGCTGTCTGGTAGTCTGGTGAGAAATTGTGAGGACTGAGACTGTGAGACTCTAATTTATAGTTGCAACTGTAAATTAGGAGATGTGTAAAAAAGTCTTTTGTTCTAATTTACAGTTGCAACTGTGAATCATACAGGGTGTTTCACAGGTAAAGGGAAATATTTCAGTGGTACATAGGGGTCACCAAGGTGGTTCTGAAAATACCATATTTGATAGGTCTTATAGAGTCTTCAAAACGGAGATACAGGGCGATTTATCGATTTCGAATAATTATTCATTCGTCTATAAGTATTCAACTACCCGGTATATATTTTCCTCAAGTTTGGTATGGATCTTGAACTTGGGACGTTGAATTCATTCACCTATCGGGCGAAGCGAAAATTCAGGTTCGGCTTCAGGAAAAATTTACATTTATTCGAAATATTGAAATAACACAATGTATGTAATAACTAACAGAGTTCATCGAAGGAATCGTGAGGAGGAGGAAAAACTGAATTGGATTTGATGCTTTTTGTTCTCGCGCCACCAATTCGCATCGTAACAATTATAAACAGAAAGTTAAAAGTATGTCAATTTGAAAAGTATTAAAATTATAAAACCAGTTTTAATTATGATTATTTGATATAGTTCAGTTAAATGATCGTTCGAAAGAACTTATACTAAGTCTCACTGTCGTTATAACAGAGATACAGGGTGAATTATCGGTTTCGAATAATCATTTACTCGTCCATAAGTATTGAACTACGCAGTAATATTGTCTCAAATTTGATACGGAACTTACTATACGGAACGTTGGATTCATTGACCTATCGGGCGGAATGGAAATACAGCTTAGGCTTCAAGAAAAATTCACATTCATTCGAAATATAAAAAAACACACTGTATAACAATTGACAAAGTTTATCAAAAGGATAATCGTGAACGGAAGAAAAAACTGAATTGGATATGATACTCATGGCGATTATTCAACTAGAAGATATCAAATAATTATAATTCGATAATTCACCCTGTATCTCCGTTAGAAATACTGTGAGACTTTTCCTGAAGCTGAACCTGTATTTCCATTTCGCCTGATAGGTCAACGTTCCAAGTAAGGTCAATACCAAATTTTGAGAAAATATTACTGGGTAGTTCGATACTTATGGACGTGTGAATAATTATTCGAAACTGATAATTCGCCCTGTATCTCTGTTATAAAGACTGTGATACTCTAATATTCTTCAAATTGACATACTTTCAACTTTCCGTTTATGATTGTTACGACTAGAATTGGTGGCAGGAAAATAAAGAGCATCAACCAATTCAGTTTTTTCCCTCTTAACGATTCCTTTGATGAATTCTGTTAATTATTACATACAGTGTGCTATTTTAATATTTCGAATAAATGTAAATTTTTCCTGAAGCCGACCCTGGACTTTTACTCCGCCCGATAGGTGAATAAATTCAACGTTCCAAGTATAAGCTCCATACCAAATTGGAGGAAAATACCTATACTGGGTAATTCGATACTTATAAACGTATGAATAATCATTCGAAATCGATAAAACGGCCTGTATCTCTGTTATGAAGATTCTAAGACCTATCAAATATAGTATTTTCAGAACACCCTGTATAGGAGCTTTTTTGAATAAAACAAGTTTCTTCTGCCTAATTTACAGTTGCAACTGTGAATTAGTACAAAAGCGTTTTTTTCGGTTTTTTTACACATCTCCTAATTTACAGTTGCAACTATAAATCAGAGTCTCACAGTCTATAAGTTCTCACAATTTCTCACCAGACTACAAGACATAGGCAGCTTCCATGTTTTGATAGCTGAGACTGTGAGACTCTAATTTACAGTTGCAACTGTAAATTAGGAGATGTGTAGAAAAAAAGTTCTCTTGATCTAATTTAAATTTGCAACTGTAAATTAGGCAGAAGAAACTTTTTTTCAACTTAAGTTACTGCAACTGTGAATTAGGAGGTGTTTAGAAAAATAAAAAAGTGTTCTCTTCCTAATTTACAGTTTCAACTGTAAATTAGGCAGAGAAAACTTTTTTTTCATACTACCTCCTACTTTACGGTTGCAACTGTACCAACTGTACTGTAATGTCTGATTCTTTTCAGAAAAATTCCCTCGCAAAAATCGTTGATCATGAAAATCACGACCAATGCATGCTCAGGCAGCAACACCGAAGTCAGATATCTGGAACACGTTCAGGCCGTCATAACGCTCAACGCGACTCGCAGAGGAGACATTGAACTCTTCCTCACCTCACCTATGGGAACAAGGTAAGACGATAGAAATCAATCTTTCAAAGAAAAACAATGAAAACACGGTCGACCAAAAAATATACTTCCCCAAAAATATTAACGCAAAAGTATCCGAAATTAACTACTTGTCCGGTTCCCACTAAGAAAATTTGGAAGCTATGTTGATGCAATGTTGTAGCAAGTACTGAAACGGACGTTCAGCAACATTGCAAATGTAAATTTGTAAATGTAACGTTCCAGCAATTTCATAGCAACATGTAATATTGCTGCAATGCTACATTAGCAAACTTCATCTTTGCAGTATTGCTGAACGTCAGTAATTGCTTCAACATTGCATCAACATAGCTTTCAACATTGCTTAGTAGGTTTGGAAGTTCTTGTTTTGAATATATCTCCTTCCGAATATTGGCGTGCAAAATATATTCGCACAATATCTCCTTTTTTATCAATATTTCGCCTTCTGAATATATTGGCGTGCAACAAATACATTATCAAGTTAGAATTGAAATCACACTATAGCCTTATATTTTTATTTTCTCAACATTCCTCTTTTGGATTTGCTCCATTATCTTCCCTATTACTCCAGAAACACAATTTTAAAATGATTTTATTGATTTGTAGAATTTCTTTGACTGGTCGCAATATGTAAATAAAACGTACATATTGGAGATTTTAGAACCTACGACGCGTCTGAGCTGCCATCCTAAAAAAAACTTTTTTTTTCACGAACATTTGCCTAACTTCCAGTTGCTACTGTAAATCAATACTAATTTACAGTTGCAACTGTAAATTAGACCAAGAGAACTTTTTTTTCTACCCATCTCCTAGTTTTACAGGTGCAACTGTAAATTATAGTCTCACAGTCTCAGTTCTCACAATTTCTCACCAGTCTGTCAGACATTGGCAGCTTGCTATAGAAAAACGCGTGTTTCGTTTTTTTATTAATTTTCCATAAAATCATGTAACGCTTTAAAATGGTTCCTCGAGTAATAGAAATATGATAGTGGAGTGAATCCAAAAAATAAATGTTGAAAGATAAGGCTTATGTGTAATTTCATTAATTCTTACGACTTGAATTACAAATTTCATGAAAAAACACCAAGGGCGTCGATAAGGGCGAGGTAATGGGGGTAATAACCCCCCTCTTAAGAATGATAATAAAAAATAGTAAATTATTAGTTTTTCAATAAAATTTAATAATTAAGATTTGTATAATATATATAAATAATAGACGTTTATGGCTGTTTGATTAGTGATACGATCCCTTGTCCAAAGAAGTCTAGTTTTGTTTCTAATTCTAATATTATATTTTCGTAAAGTGATGGATATATTCATTATTACCCAAACTATATCCATATCTGAAGAATCTCCTGAAAAAGGTCTATATTAAATTTCAATTTGGCACATTAATTGCAATGAAAAATAAAATTTATATGGTGATAACCACGTTTGAGTAGTGATCGACGTCCATAAAAAGCTGAATTCAAAAATATATCACTCACAATATGTGTATAGGTATATAGTGTATAGGTATATAGTGTGCATTCATGCTCTCATAAAGTACTTAGTGGAAAAATTCGAAAAAGGTTGAACTAATAATTTTTGAAAAGAACGCTCGAAGCCGTCAAATTTCATTTTCATCCAGGCATTCTTTCGAAATCATTGATGATTGATTCATACAGAATGATAATGTATCTATACTTTGAAAGAGCAATGAAGTTAACCAACGCAGTGTACCGAAATACTATATGTACATATATAATGTTTAAGTTCATGGAGATTCAAAAAATTTAATAATTACCTCTATGTGGTGTTCCATTTGAAAAAATTGTCTCGGACATATATGATTATACTCAATCGTGAATCACCCTTTATATTCAATTTGTTCCTGTAAATGTGTACTGAGAGAAACTGATATTAAAAATATCTACCAGCTCTGATTGTATAATAACCATTATAAAGAAATCTTCTATTCTTGATCATTTCATTTTTTATTACAACAATATATTATTCTCTCCATTCTGTAATTATTGAAGTCGCTTTCTTAAAACATGTTTAATATACACTTGAATGGACATTTATTTATTTTATTTATTTATTTCTTTATTTATTTATTGAACAAATAACTTCCAGACAGAATAGGCTCTGGTATAAGGAATAAGTACATAATTATATACCTATAGGTAAACATATAGCATCATTCAAAATATATCAACAACTGTAAATTGGCAAACAAAGAATAATATAATAATATTTGTAAAAAAAAAAAATGGCATGATTAATTTTATCCAGTCCGCTGAGAAATAATCAGTTTTTTTACTTCATTTTTGAATATACCTATATTTCTGCAATTTTTTATATTATCAGGTAGTTTATTGAATTCAGTTGAGGCTGAATGAGTGAATCTTTTTTGTCCGATTAGGGAGCTAGCGGCGTCAAGATGGAACAAGTTATATTGTCTAGTTTCATGATTATGAATTTCAGAATTCCGTATCAAAATAATATTCGACTTCAATTTTTTATTTATGATATTATATGATATTTTGAGAGTTTCAATTCTATACAGGGTGATTCAAAAGTAAGCGGCATCCTTTCAGAGGCGTATTCCTTGCTTGAAAATAAGGCAAAAAGTTCCTATTGATAAGGATCCGAAAATGCTTCCTAAGGGAGCTACGGCCCTTTGAATAGGACACCTCAAAGACGGTTTTTTCTCTATAACTTTAAAATCCTTCACAACAAATTTTTAAAAATTGGTGTACGGCATAAACATTCGATGGTAAATAGGACTCCGTATTCGAAATAATTTCCAAACGAAATCACAGTAACCTGAATATCCGGAGAAGAAGGGATATTTTTACACTTACCCTCTCCCGCATGTGACGCCCCTGAATGAAATTCTGAAATTTCGAATACGGAGTCCTATTTACCGTCGAATGTTTATGCCGTACACCAATTTTTAAAAATTTGTTGTGAAGGATTTTAAAGTTATAGAGAAAAAACCGTCTTTGAGGTGTCCTATTCAAAGGGCCGTAGCTCCCTTAGGAAGCATTTTCGGATCCTTATCAATAGGAACTTTTTGCCTTATTTTCATGCAAGGAATACGCCTCTGAAAGGATGCCGCTTACTTTTGAATCACCCTGTATATTTCATCTGAAGAATACGTATTTGTTATTTCATACAATTGATTGGTTGGTGTATCAAATGGGAGACGATACAATACTTTTAACGATTTTCTATATAATGTTGATATTTTATTGAAATTATTTTTTGAACAAGATCCCCAAACATTTATTGAATAGTTGATACGACTCAGTATACCTATGAGAGTAGAGAATCATGTTTGCAATTTTAATATCAAGTTTGGGACATCTTCTCAATGCACCAATAATTGGAGATATTTTTTTTGTCAGAACATCAATATGTTTGTCCCACTTCAACCTGTCATCAAACCAAATACCAAGATATTTTATCTGGTCAGTTTGTTTCAAGAGTTCATTTCTTATTTTAAGGTTGAGGTGAATTTTTTGTTTATTTTTTTGGTGAAAAATCATATATTCTGTTTTGTTAGTATTTATCGATAAAAGGTTAGATTGGAGCCATTTTTCAAATATTTTCAAGTCTTCATTTATCATATTTTCTAAATTTGAAGGATTCTTGCCTTCATATAAAAGTACTCTGTATCATCTGCATACATGGTATATTCACACGTACGAAGGCGCTGAAGGGCCACCTATACTTTTTTTTTTCGAATCCCGACTTTAAAGTCGGACCCCCGACTTTAAAGTCGGGGGTCCGAGATTAAAGTCGGGGGTCCGACTTTAAAGTCGGGGGTCCGAGATTAAAGTCGGGGGTCCGACTTTAAAGTCGGGGGTCCGAGATTAAAGTCGGGGGTCCGAGATTAAAGTCGGGGGTCCGAGATTAAAGTCGGGGGTCCGACTTTAAAGTCGGGGGTCCGAGATTAAAGTCGGGGGTCCGACTTTAAAGTCGGGGGTCCGAGATTAAAGTCGGGGGTCCGACTTTAAAGTCGGGGGTCCGAGATTAAAGTCGGGGGTCCGACTTTAAAGTCGGGGGTCCGAGATTAAAGTCGGGGGTCCGAGATTAAAGTCGGGAGTCCGAAACTTAAGTTAGGAGCTAGATTATATTCTTTAAATATGTGGACAGAAATGAATATTTTCCATTGTTACTCATCAGTTTGATGTCAGCAACATGCTCCTGAATTTTCTACATGTACTCGAGAAACACCCTGTACGTTTATGTACAAACAATAATTTTACATCCATTGGATAATCATCACATAAGGATCAGTCAAAATCCTCCCTTTTGGATGTACACTGAATGTCAAATAATGGATCACACCTGTACGATCATTATCGTACGTATAGGGTGATTGTATATATTCCACTTCATAGCTGAGAATCTCATTTGTTTGTTTAAAGGGTGCAAAAAGATTACAATACAAAACATATATTTTCACAAATGAACTACCCTGAATGTCATTTCGTCCTTGGGTAGAGCTCAGAAAGATGAGTTTAATGATACATGATTACATTTGTAGGTATGAGATCACCCCTTCCGGACTATTTTCATAATCTTCTTCAATAAATAGCCAAATTTCTAAGCCTTATGAAAACGTTGAGAATCAAGTTTTCAATGCGCAGTTTTCATTATGAATTAACTGATTATACAGGGTGGTCCACGGTGGATGGCCTATTAGAAGTATCTGGAGAACGAAAAAACAGAACATTCTGAAAATTGGGATACTTTGATAATTGAACATTTTCTATCCCACTAGAATATTTTCATCGATACAGTGTTGCCACTTCTATAAGAAACAACTAGCAACTTCGCTATTTTGAATGGAGCACCCTGTATATTCTATTGCATTATTAGATTCCTCCTGAAGAGCTGATTTCATCAATCTTGGGATCTAGCAGGAATGATTACAGAGATATATGATGTTCAAAATCGAGATTTTTTAAATTCAGGATTTTTTGTGTCGAAACTATTCATCATCGATCGAAACGACTAACATGTCCCTATCTTAACTTTTGATTCACTAAATACTGGAATTTAATTGGAACAAATACAGGGTGCTTCAAGATTCAGAATTCTGATCACCCTGTATCTGTTCCAATTAAATGTCAGTAGATAGTGAATCAAAAGTTAAGATAGGGACATGTGAGCCGTTTTGATCGATAATGAATAGTTTCGACACAAAAAAATCCTGAAATTCAAAATTCTAGATTTTGAACACCCTATATCTCTGTAATAATTCCTGCTAGACCACAAGTGTGATGCATCGATGAAATCAGCTTTTCATGAAGGATCTAAAAATGCAATAAAATACAGGGTGCTCCATTCAAAATAGCGAAGTTGCTAGTTGTTTCTGATAGAAGCGGCAACACTGTATTGATGAAAATATCTTAGACGGATAGAAAATGTTCAATTATCGAAGAATCCCAATTTTCAGAATGTTCTGTCTTTTCGATCTCCAGATACTTCTAATAGGCCATCCACTGTGGATCACCCTGTATATGTTATATTGATATTTTGTCAATATTGAGGATATTCGAATTAAACAAAGGTGATGACGCATTTTGCAAACCGATCATCTTCTCGGAATTTTCGAATGTATTCAATTTCATTCTTGGATAGAGCAAAGAAAGACGAATTCAATGATATATGATATCATAGAATGGGTCTGAGAACACCCGTTTCGGACTTATCCATGAAGTCCGAGATTAAAGTCGGACCCCCGACTTTAATCTCGGACCCCCGACTTTAATCTCGGACCCCCGACTTTAAAGTCGGACCCCCGACTTTAATCTCGGACCCCCGACTTTAAAGTCGGACCCCCGACTTTAAAGTCGGACCCCCGACTTTAATCTCGGACCCCCGACTTTAATCTCGGACCCCCGACTTTAAAGTCGGACCCCCGACTTTAATCTCGGACCCCCGACTTTAATCTCGGACCCCCGACTTTAAAGTCGGACCCCCGACTTTAATCTCGGACCCCCGACTTTAAAGTCGGGGGTCCGACTTTAAAGTCGGGATTCGAAAAAAAATAGTATAGGTGGCCCTTCAGCGCCTTCGTACAATTCATATGTATGAAGGTCATCAGACAATCATTCGACAATCGTGATTCGGCTTATTTTCGCTCTAGTTTTTCATCCGTTTTGGAGGAGACATCGCTATACAGATCGAGTTCATTTTCACTCTTGTTCTCGGCAATGGGTGCCCGTCTTCAATTATTGATCAATGGTTTCGATCGTCCGATTATTTCGATTATTTCGTATTGAATTATGGCTCTCTACAAGATATTTTTTCTTCATTAACTAAACCAAAGAGCTTTTTAACCCCCCCTCCCCCCAAGAAAAAAAATATCGACGTCCTTGAAAAATACGCTATAAAATTGTTATTTATGAAAAAGAGGTTTTTGAGCAAATAAAGGTAGCATACTAATATTCAGAAAATGTATCTTCAACTTTGGGCTACTTTTTAATGGTGCTTTAATTTCTTGATGGGGAAGTGCGCGCATGTATATTGATCAAATTATTGTGCAAATTGTTAAATAGATTTTGTGATCAAATTATACTTGGTTGTGCGTGCTGTGTGTTTGTGGGTTTTTGTTGGTTTTCTTTGTAAAATATGGACCATTTTGAGAAAGATGAATGGTTTCCATGACATACCTAAATGGATCATTCTATAATGAAGCCTGATTTTTTTTCGTAGATCGATGATCCTTAGTAGACGACAAAACGACGATGATTCACGTGACGGTTTCTCAAAGTGGCCTTTCATGACCACCCACACCTGGGGAGAATATCCGCAAGGCACTTGGCTGCTCGAGGTATACCAATACTTAAAAAATAATTCAATTATTTTCAAATTGAGTGTTTTCCTCTGAATCAGACTATTTTCTCTGAAATCATACTTTTTCTATTAATTTTTTGACTTTTTACTGAATATGCGTCAGACTCATATATATATATATATCTTTCAATTCATACTATTTTGTTCGAATTCAAGACTTCTTTGAATTCAGACTATAGTTCCTTCATATTTGAGACCCTTTTTATGAATTAAGACTTCTTTGGATTTCCTGAATTCAGATTTTTTAATTCAGACATATTTTTCTTGAATTCTGACTTTTTTTGAACATTGGATTCAGAATTTTCTCTTATTTGAATATGAGCTTGTTGACAAATTGATACTCGTATCATACAGGGCGTGTGGAAAGAAATTCTGAATTGAGAAAATCCAATAGGCAGGAATAATCTGTGATTATATTGAGGTCTGTAAAAATAACAAATTTCCATCATTCCAAGTTTCAACTCCTTGATGATTGGGTATGGAAGTGTTGAAAAGGAATATTCTCAGATAAAGTATTTTGATTTTTTCTTTAAATTCAGAATTTTTTCTGCAATTTCAAGATTTTGTTTGAATGATTGTGATAATTTCAGGCCAAATTCAATTCCCAAATGCCGCAATCTGGTTTCGTGAAGGAATGGACACTGATGCTGCACGGAACAAAAGAGCCCCCGTACACGGAACTGCCCGTTTTGGACCCCCACTCCAAGCTGGCTATTGTCAAGAAAGCTCACGAAAGTCGAAGCAAAATGTAAAATTTATTATTTTGTTGTAATGTGTTCAAATCGGACAAAATATTCTCTATAATTCCATCATTATAATGTATATTTTGATAGTCTGTTTTTTTTATTTATACCATTGGGCAACTCCATTAAAGAAAAATCAGAAGAATGCATCACCTTCAGATTCAGGGTGAGAAACATAACAACAACAGTGTTGCCAACTTAGTGGATTTCACACTAGAACTGAGTTCTCGTTTTGTGACAAAATATGACATTTTTAGTGGATGGTGTTTTGTTTACTTTGGCGAATTTTTTCAAACAAATCGATGGACCTCTGCAATAACGACATAACTCAAAAAACACAAATGTTCAGGAGAGCCATCCAAAAATTTCACCCTTTATGTTTCAGGCATAATGTGTTCTTGGATAGGGATTCATCTGTTTTTTTTGTGACAATTTGGGGAAAAAATATTTTAGATTCCGAATTATCAATGCCCAATTACTATTCAGTGATGATAGTTCCAAATATTTTATTTTATTTGAAAAATATTTTGAGTTATGCCAGTATTCAATCATAAGAGTATTTAATTTTGACCTATTATTTTTGACACATCAGAGTAAGTGATAGGTTTATGTGAAGAAATAAGACATCATAGTTGATCCGAAAAAAACAAAACTATATTCCAAATATCATCATGAAATGACAAGTAAAAATTATGGCCAATTCAAAGGCTGCTATAGAAAGAAGAATAATATTTTGGTATAATATTTTTTTCCACTAGCTTGAGGAGACCATCTTTTTTCTTTTGATCTAGCCCCACTGGTCCATCGTATAAGGGCTTCAAAATCAAAGTGGAAACTTCACCTGAAGTTGCACTACCTCGGGTATTTCTTTTATGGGATATATTAATTTCTCGAAACTGTTCATCAGAGTAGAGATATTTATATAGTATCTTTTGGGGTTTTGCTTTTTCAACTCGAAGAACAGCAATCTCACTGACACGAACATTTTCATTGTTAGAGTCTTTAAATCCGGATGCCTTAATGTTATTTGACAAATCTTTGAAATCGAAAAACGACTCGTAACTCAGTTCTTCTACAACATACGGCGTACCCTTTTTTTTCGCTGTCCTCATCAATGCTACATACTGTTGTGGAGTGTAAATTGGTCCCCGTTTGAGCGATTTAGTTATTTCTCGCTGGATAGTTGCATGAGCACTGTCACCTTCATTTTGGGTGTGACCTTTGACTAAAAAGTTGTGGGTAATTGAATTGACATTTTTGAAGCTACGGATGGCATATTCGTACATTAAAAATATGAATTTATTTTTATTCTGTCCACAGCAGTTGTCTGAATAGAACACAATATCGATATTGTGCTTTGCTTCTATTGCTTTCTCTTCCAATCCCTTCATGTACATCCAAAGGCATGTCGCAATTTCGTTAGCGCCCCTTTTTGCCTGTGTTTCGTCCCAGGTATAACAGTGAACATTGTTTGTTGCTAAATCGCACACAGTAAAATTATAGGCGTTCAGCTTTGATACATAATAAAATGTGGAAACATCGCCTCTGGGGCATTGCAATACTGCCTGGAGATCGTACACTAACACTACGTGATTACTATCTGCCTTTGCGTTTTCTTTGTCTTCTTCCTTCGCAAGTCGTGAAAGTCTCTTTTCTTTTTGATGTTCCTGATATTTTGGTTCCAATGCAGTTTTCTCATCGCTGGTAGCATTTCCATATCGTACGCAATCTTCGCATTGGTCTTTTTTGGGTTGGTGAAACGAGATATTATACTCTGTATTGAATACTTTAGCATACATTTGGTAGTTTGCTGGTTCTGTATCATTTTGAGTTTTCCAAAAAGTGACAAAATCTCTGTATAGATCCATGATTGTCCGTCCCCCCTCAATATATACTTTTTGAGAGTCTTTGCGGCAGTAATGACTTTCTATCCTGGGTACTGACTCTATGTGCTCTCGAATTGCTTTCAAAGTAGCAGGATCAGTACATCGATGTTTTTTATGTTTGCCACGTCCGTCAAGACTGAGAACACCACAATGTGATGACATCTTCTTTTCATTCACAGTTCTGATGAAGCGATCAGTTATTGCTAAGGTATTCCTAAAAAATAATTTGCATACTCTTGTTTTTTTTCCATCGACAACCAAATAGAATGCGTTATTCAGATTACGATGGCTATTTTCCCGTGTGTATCTATATTTGGGCTCTATAGATAGCATACTTTGCAAAACAAATTCACGTTGCCTTTGCAAGTCACCAGTCTTCCAAAATTCATCGAAAATAGCCTTTCTTTGATCCTCCAGAATTTTTTGTGAACACTTATGTAAGCATTTCTCTCCATTGCATGCAGGACCTATCGATTTTTTTTCTACCACTTTGTCACTTCGTGAAACGTACTCTTGTCCACTATTCCTCATACGTTTCGCCAAGTTTCTTTTCCATGAATTCGGCAGGCATTTTCTTTTTCTTGTGATACTTCTTTTCTTTCCTGCATCAGAAGATTCATCACTGTCACTCAAGTCATCAACTGATGATGGAAATACAGGTGGAATTGTATTTTCTTTCTTCTCTGGCAAGACATAAGTTTTATCTTGAATATCATCGTCGTCATCTTCTGACATAGATTCGGAAGAAGATGAAGAACTCGATGAACTTTCATCAGAACATGATTCACATGAGCTTTGTTCTGGAGCTGAAGATGACTCAGGACATTTTTTATCGGGGCTCACTCGGTTATCTGGAATTTAAAAAAATATGTATAATCACACTTGATGGAATGTATCTGATACTCACCATTTGTATTCGAACCAGAGCTCACTTCGAACTTAATTCCTGGGATAGAAAATGCAGAATTATCGTTTTCCGTGGAGAGAAACTCCATGATTTCGATTACAGGAACTGAAAAATCATTGGGTGTCGCTACTGAAATATGTTCCTCCAAGAGAGGTTCCAATACCGTTAGACACGCATCAGGTGAATTTTCAGTAGTAGTTACAGGTGAACCATTCTTCGGAACAACTGGTATTGGAATATATTCATCGTGCGTGTGTCCATCATCTGAAAGATATAGGAGTTATAATTGTTCTCAGAATATAATAAGATATTATTATATGAACTTAAGATAGAATAATTATGGAATATTGTTTTGCAAATAGACTCAATGAGTACTCACCAACTGACGATAATTCTATGTTCTGATTTTTTTCTTCAGAGTTCACAGATACAGTTTTTCTAATTTGAATCATAGAACATTCTGGAAATTTCGTACTAGAACTGATTATAACATTCTCTGGCGGAAGAACTTCTGACTCAACTAGCTGTTTTGGCAATGCTGCCATTATTTTATCTCTACGTGTTTGTATACGTGACATGCTGACCTTTAAAAAAACAAAATCTTTCAGAATTCTATAGCCTTGAAGTGTGAGATGAATTCTAAACAATTTCAATGAACCATAAATCAACGTAAAATATGAAAACATACAATCATGAATTATTTCATCTAAAATTTCAGGGTCATAGCTCATAATAAATCAACTTCCTCCTGAACATCAATAATGTGAAACATAAAAATTAGAATAGAAGGGAATGTTGACCGAAACAATATTTTTTGGTAATACATAATACATCAGCATATAATTCTATGTTTTTCACTTACTTGGTGTTCAATAACGACTCAACACGAATTCAGCACCTCTCCTTGATAACATAGAGAATAATTTGTCTATTGGTACTACTGAACAAGAGCACAATCAGAAATATGTCGTTATTCACAACAACATTACTCATCAAAAATGGCCCAACACGAAAGAGGTCGCTCTTTTCGAGTTAATGAACGCTATGATTTACACTGGTACTATTGAACAACGGCACAATGAGAAATATGTCGTTATTGTCAATGATATATCTCATCAATGATGGCTTAAAATGAAATAAGTCACTATTCTTCAGTAAAGAGACACTTAAAATTACACTGGTACTACTGAACGATGGCAGAATGAAAAATGTGTCGTTATTATCTATAAAAAAATCACTAACACCCCGGCACATCTGGACTTATGCCGATATTCATGTTAAATATAAGATGCACCCTCTGTGATTCGGTCGCTACTGAGACATGTGCCACTGTTCAATAGGCTATATGGCGAATTCAGATTAACAGTCGAACGACACAACAGCGCTCTCTATCGGATTGGTGGAAAGTAGACATATGCCGATATTACACAGGAAAATATAGTTAATTCTCAACATCATCCGCTATAAATCTAGAATACAAGGAATTTCGGCTTGTGTCGTTATTGCAGAGGACCATCGAAATGGTGAAATTTGGTGGTTGAGGATCCTTGTTTCATATAATATTTCAATTTCAACGATGTAATACTAGAGCAAAATTTTATCTGGTGTTATCTAGTGATCTGAACTAAAGTTAAAACCACCAGAAAATCACTAGATTTCCGAGGTGGCCAATTTATGACTTTTCGAAATCTGAGTTGGCATTGTTGGCAACACTGATCAACAAAAGGGATTAACAAATACAAAGAAAACAGCGTATAATTCATGGCCTCATTCTAGGTTCCATTAGGTTCATGGCATGATGTAAACAGAAAGTCATAGAATAAAATTTAGTTAGCTGGAACTCTAGCTCACTAGATTTTTTACTCCATAATTAGCAGACAATGGCATGAGATGCTTATAAACATCTCACAATTAATGGCACAAACAAACAGGACAATACAAAGGAATACTAAATGTCTGAAGGTGTTTTTTTTTTATAGGAGCACACCAAAGGGAATGCCCCAATAATGAAGCATTTATCACATGATATTTGGGGAGAGAACAGGAAGTGACAATTCAATATTAAAAAAAATTTAATCAATAACTAGAACTAGACCAATTATCTCTATACATCAATATACACAAACCTAAAAATAATAACAAGCAATAATCACAACTAAACCACTCAGTTCAAGAACCGGATGCTCATTTTCTGTTCAACATCAGTCCTTTGAAGAGCCTTGCAGAACTCTTCAAAGGAGATCATCTTATCACCATCCTCATCTGCCTCCACAATGGTCCTTTCTGCAATGCTGTTCAGCTGCTCTTCACTGATGTTATTACCTACCATCATATGCAGGATGGCCAACAACTCATCCTTTGATATCATGTCATCATTATCCAAATCATACATCTTGAAGGCAACTGACAAAAAAACAGAAAAATGCTTTTTTCAATGTAAACATGGTTAAATCTAGTACTTACATTTGAGTTTATCTTCTCTGGAGTTCATTTTGTTCTCCTTGTGCCTCTTTACAGGCCTGAAATGGGAGAGACCTTGCATGAACTGCTTGAAGTTCACCCTGTCACAGAATTCGTCTCCTTGGAAAAAGGAGTTGACAATTCTCTCACCCAGAGGGTTTATAGCCAATTCAGGTATTCTAAGAAAGTCATCTCTGCTTAAAGTGCCACAGTCTCCTCTGTCCAGAGAAGTGAACCTGGAGTATAGTCTCTCGATTTGATTGGGTGTAACTAGAAAGGAGAATGGAACAATTTTTTCATGTTCAACAATTTTGGACACTTACATCCTGTATCTTCTTGGATTTGTGCAATTTCTTCCTCACGCAGCAGCAAAGAAGATCTGTTTCCCATTTCAGAAATCAATAAAATCAAAAACAGTGGTTTATAAATCACCCTCTACCAAGTTCTTGCACATATGATCTGATAATTTTGAAAGTTCTTCTTGCTAATAATTATCTGTTGTTGTTCGTGTTTCTTTTCACTTGTGACTTGTGTCCCTGAAACTTGAACTTCGATCTTTTATTTTTAATTTTGAACTTCAGATTTTCTCATGAACAGTAAACACAAACATACATAACCTGAAAGCAGTCGTCGAAGCTGACAGGAGTGACAGGGAACTCACAGAACCAGTAATGTTCTTGTCATAACTTTTGTAATAGATCTATTACTTTTTTACGGTTTTTACGTTTTGTTATGAATCTATTACTATTTGCTGTTAGATCGTTGACAAAACCAAGACAAATGGTATTTATGTCATTAGCTCGGTGACTTCTCCTCTTCTCCTTTGTTGTCTCTAAAGATCCTCGATAAATGCCTGACATTCGACATTCTGTTATTTTTGTCAAAAATGTAAAAACTGTGCGATAAAGTTGGACAAGAATGACATTTATCATGTCAAATGTCAAGCATTTTCGTCTATTACCTTCTGATTCGAATCTGTTACTTTTTTCAAACGAAATCTTTTACGAGAAATTCAGGACCAAGGGACCAACGCTGCACAGAACCTTCTTTGAAGATGGCTATCCTTAGATCAATCCAAGGCTATTTAACTCTATACACAGAACAAATAACACATCTGTACTACACCTGTGATAGTGCAAAGATTATCAACTCTCAACTCGAACTTTGTTTTTGTTCGTTTTTCACTGGTCTCCACTAGGTCGAACCACAGTTTAACACTTTTCCGCACTGAAAGTCTCCAGTTTTGTCATATTATCATTCAACGATAGATGAACACAGAGTTTTTACAACAATCTTTGTAAATAATTATCTGCGTGCCTGTCATTTTAATAACGTTTGAGAACAGTGCATAAATTATAATTAATGAGGTTAATCTTCACATTCACTTATTTGTAGATATTACAGAATTTTTGTCACCAAAAGTTTCTCAACATGAATTCAAAATAAATATATTCACACCCAAACACCAAAATCGAATAATTAATATTATCACAATAATTTTAAACCAATGCATTAATGTCGAAGGCAAAACCTTAGGAATTTCGACTTGTATTTCAGAAAGCGTCAATTCAATTTTATTTCTAATCATTATAGATAGCCCAATAAAATTGTAATTGACTGTAAAAGTGACTAAATGTCATATAGGTTATAGATCTACAAGGAAGTAGCCATCCTATGATCTACCTAAGATATTCATTATGGGAAAGGGAGTATAAACAAAATACTAATAGAATATATCATTTATTCCTGTATATTTTTTCCATCTAAATTTTGGATATTCATTCTCAATTCATCCGCAAAGTGCTTGTCCAAGCACCAATTATTCGGTCCTGACCAATCGACCATTTTTCTTGAAACACTCCAATCTTCGCAGAGCAGAGAGTCATCATCCAACCATCACACTGTACTGAGTCTGGTCCATCATTTTATTTGTTGCTTCTTCAGCCAAACCTATAATTAATTATAATTATAAATTATCAAAAATGAAATTATTATAACAATCATCTTGCAAAATACATGGTAAATTCAACTCAAAAAATGTCAAGCTGCGGATTCAAAAACTACCGATTAATTGTATTTCGAATTAGTCAATTTTTTTATCAAAATAAATCCCTGAAACAGATTCAATTATAATTCTGAACACTTTGAAACCTTTTGAAATCAACTTGATGGCTTTTGGAAATTGAAATAACTGATGTTTAGAAATTAACTTGGCGCTTTTTGAAACCCAAATAACATACTTTGAAATTCAGGTAACAATTAGAAAATGCAAATAATGATTTCAGAAATCAAAATGGGTATTTGGAAATATGATTGGAAAAATTTCTCAAACACAAGTCGCACTATCAGCCGAAGGAAAATAACGGTGCTAATAATACAAGTGGGAAATTATAGCATTCCGTGCGAGTTATAAGCTATACTTTTTCTACGACTTTGACATATAATCTGAGATGAATCAACAACAGATCATGAAATTCATTTGGAATATCATTCGATAACAGCTGTCAGTAGAAGAATATTTATTGCTGCTAATCATACGAGTGAGAAATTAGCATTCCTAGCGAGTTATATACTATACTTTTTCTACGACTTTGAGATAATAGCGAAATGATCCAACAGATCATGAAATTCAGTTGGAATGTCATTCGAAAACAGAGCTGTCAGAAGAAGAATATCCATTGCTACCAATCATACGAGTGAGAAATTAGCATTCCGTGCGAGTTATACACTATACTTCTTCTAGGAACTTTTACATATAATTGCGAAATGATTCAACAACAGAAATATCATGAAATTCAGATTGAATGTCATTCGAAAACAGAGCTGTCAGTAGAAGAGTATTCATTGCCGCTGATCATACGAGTGAGAAACTAATATTCCGTGCGAGTTATACACTATACTTCTTCTACGAACTTTGACATATAATAGCGAAATGATGCAACAACAGAAATATCATGAAATTCAGATTGAATGTCATTCGAAAACGGAGCTGTCAGTAAAAGAATATTCATTGCTGTTGATCATGCGAGTGGGAAATTAATATTCCGTGCGAGTTATACACTATACTTTTTCTACGACTTCGACATATAATAGCGAAATGATGCAACATCAGAAATATCATGAAATTCAGATTGAATATCATTCGAAAACAGAGCTTTCAGCAGAAGAATATTCATTGACATTCCTTGGGAAACGTGATCAATTGCAAAATAAGAACCACAGCTTCAACACAATCAAGTAGTTGTTTTACAAGGTAAGGAAATGAATTTGAAGACTAGAATAAAATATACCTCATTGTTTCATTAAAAGCGGTGTTGTAGCCGTAGAAAAAAGGTGTAGTGATAGCACATTGATCATTTCCAGATAGGTATAAGATAGGTATATGAAATAATTGATAAACTAGACAGGTTACCGAGTTTGTCTCATAATGTGAAAGGTCGCATGATTGTGACGTCATTTTTCTCCTCGGTATAGGTCTTTTAATACAGTCATATTACATCATTTAATGAGGGTTAACTGTTTCAGTACCACCAGTCGAAGCAACTGCCGAATGTCAACGTTACCCCAATTTTCTTAAATTGACCATATTTCACTTGGAAACACTGACATACATTACTAACTAGACCGCTAACTCTATAAGATTGAAGCTCATTGATTTACGAAATCGAACTTGGTTTCAATGGATCGTGCGCATTCAGGACCTTGTATACAGGGTGATCCACGGTCAATGGCCTATAAGAAGTATCTAGAGAACGAAAATACAAGAACATTCTGAAATTTGGTATGCTTTGATAATTGAGCATGCTCTATCCGCCTAAAATATTTTCATCGATACAGTGTTGCCACTTCTATCAGAAACAACTAGCAACTTCGTTATTTTGAATCCTGTATTTTATTGAATTTTTAGATTCTTCTTAAAGAGCTGATTTCATCAATGTATCACACTTGGGGTCTAGCAGGAATCATTACAGAGATATAGGGTGTTCAAAATCGAGTTTTTTCAATTTCAGAATTTTTTGTGTCGAAACTATTCATTATCAATCAAAACGGCTCACATGTTTCTATCTTAACTTTCGATTCACTATCTACTGACATTCAATTGAAACAGATACAGAGTGATCAGAATTCTGAATTTTGAAGCACCCTGTATTTTCCCCAATTAATTCCAGTAGATAGTGAATCAGAAGTTGATATAGCGACATGTGAGCCTTTTTGATCGATAATGAATAGTTTCGACACAAAAAATCCTAAAACTGAAAAATCTCAATTTTGAACGCCCTATATCTCAGTAATCATTCCCGCTAGACTCCAAGTGTGATGCATTGATGAAATCAGTTCTTCAGGAAGAATCTAAAAATGCAATAAAATATAGTGTTCCGTTTGAAATAACAAAGATGCTAGTTGTTTCTGATAGAAGTGGCAACACTGTATCGATGAAAATATTTTAGGCGGATGAAGAATGTTCAATCATCAGAGAATACCAATTTTCAGAATGGTCTGTCCTTTCGTTTTCCAGATACTTCTAATTGGCCATCCACCGTGGATCACCCTGTATATCTCACTTACTTTCCGAAAACTAAGAGACATGACATGAACGACAGTTTGGGAGTTCCTGCATATTGGGCAAAAGCGTTTTCAGGCGAGCAATTTGGATGAGGTTTTCTAGCTGCTGGAATATGACATATAACGGTCTGGATAGTTATGTCAATGCTTGGAAAGGGTTAGACATTTTGTGCGATTTGTTGGCATCAGCTACTGTCAAATTGAGTGTCATTTGTCGAATTCATAGTGAATAATGAAAAAATAGAAATGGTTTCGACCGGTCCCTTGTATACAAAACCTTAAAAACTGGTATATTCACTAGGTAACTGCGATATGACAAATAGCGGTCTAGATAATAATTGTCAGTCGTGGGTCTTTTAAAAAACCTTGATATATGGAGTTGGGTCAATGCGATTATCAATCAAAAACTCTCCTTTATCAACGATTCAACCAAGCCGATGATATTCCAATTTGACACCGTTGTAGCCAACCTCCCAATACGAAATATCTAACCCTTGAAAATATGGTCCAGAAGAATATCGATACTGAAAAAAATGTACACCTACGTTTCATTCGATTATAGAGACGAAATCGCATTTTCAAAAAGTCGATTACAATATTTTACACATACCTGAGTTTATTGAAAATATCCGCAAAAAGCCTCAAAGGGTTTGGCGCCGAACGACCTATGCGAGCGTCAATATAAATGGCGTTGCATTGATGTTGGACGTATGTGGCGTAGCGAGTCCGCAAGTTGGTTGGTAAGGCCGCTTCTTCAAACTTCTAAATGCGTCCAAAAGGTTTTCTTGAAGGCGCAAGCGGGTTTGTTTCTTCTTTATGTATCTGTATCCGTATCCGCAATGTCTTCTGCGATGCGACTATAGTCTGCTCCAGATAAGATTAAAGTAGCATCTGATTCAATGAAAATCAAGAACACACTGTATGCATTTCATCACATACTTTGCCCTCATCTAGAACAGACTATAGGTACTCTTGAAGTGTGAAAGCTTCGTGTTGTACGGTAGAATAAACTACATGTTTTGCTTCATCTCAACGCATTATCTTAGGCTCCGCCCGCCTCCAGTATGAAGAACGAACACGAGTCCAAATTGTCTTCGATCAATGAAGAGCATGGACACACTGTATTATATTTATCTCATCACATACTCCACTCTCAATAAGAACAGAGAATAGTTACTTCAGAAGTGGACTTTCGTGTTGAACCGTAGAATCAACTACACGTTTTTCGTTTCCATCCTAACGCATTATCTTAGGCTCCGCCTCTCATCCTAAAGAACCAATACGAGTCCGAATTACCAAGGATCATTGAAAAACATAAAAACACTATAGATATCTCATCACATACTTCACTCTTATCTAGAACAGACTGTAGGGACTTTTGAACTGTGAAAGTGTCATGGTGTACGGTAGAATTAACTACATGCTTTGCGTTTTCATCTCGAAGCATTATCTTAGGCTCCGCCCCCCAGTATAAAAGATGAATACGAGGCCAAATTGTCTTCGATCAATGAAGAGCATGGACACACTGTATAATATATATCCATCACATACTTCACTCTCGTCGAGAACAGAGTATAGTTATAGATATTTCACTCCACTCTCGTCGAGAACAGAGTATAGTTATAGATCTTTCACTCTCAGTAACTTTAACACATTCACTGCTCCGGTAACATGTATGTGAGTTGTCCTGGTGCCACCTACTTTTTTCGGTGATTATGTCAATTTGATGTTGGTAGTAGCTAGGTAGCATTTATATCAACATGGATTTTGGAGTAATTTGGAAAAAAAAACAAAAACGCCCCTGAGGCGGTGTGGGCACAGAGCAAGCCGATTGCCTGGTATGTGCCGGAGACCGCCCCTGGGGCGTTTGATGAAAGTCGTGATGAAACGATAAGTTTATGTATATTTTAAAAAGTACATGTTCAAAAACTATTATAAAAATTATAAAACAATTCGCTTCGGCTTATTATAAAAGCAAAAAATAAAAATACAAATAAATAACCGTCTTCCCTTCCAAAACACTCTATATAATATCAGCACGAATAAAATTTCTCGGAACCAACACGGCCACGTTACACTTCGAACACCTGTGGTATGCCTACACTCATTAACATGCGAAGACCAACTGACTCAACAATTTTATACAGCAATGAAACTGAAATATCCGTGAACGCCTCTCGGGCGGGCTCGGCGTGGCGAGCACTGTCATGTGAACGCCGCAGGGGCGGTCTGGGCAGTGAATGTGTTAAGAAGAGATTGAAGCTTGATCTTTCAGCCAGGTAGGTCTTATTACAATAAAAAATCTAGCAATGCTTCTCTGACAATCCTTTGTATATTCAATTCTCAATAATATGCAATTTTTTATTTGAATTTTTCAATTATTTTTTCTTATTGTATACTATTAATATATCGGTGTTTCTTCGAGAAATATCGCATCTACGTTGTTTCTACACCTTTCATGATTTATATTTTTGTAAATTAACTTGTTCTTCTCATTTTATTTTTGGGGTTGAGTTGAAAACTAGCTTTCTGCTGATACTCCGCCTATTCACCATTTCAGATAGGTTTATAAGGTATGTCAAATTATCGTTGTCTTTTGATTTTTTACATATGCAATTTTTTTTCTGCAAATGATGAATAAAGACGATTTATTATTATTATTATATGTTACTTCAGAAGTGAAGTTTCGTGTTGAAGGGTAGAATTAACTACACGTTTTTCGTTTTTTTCCTAACGCGTTATCGTAGGCTCCGCCCCTCATCCTAAAGAACCAATACGATTCCGAATTGCCTATAGGATCATTGAAAAACATGAAAAACTGTAGATATCATCATATACCTCACTCTCGTCTAGAAACAGCCTATAAGTACTTTTTAACTGTGAGAGTTTCATGTTGTACGGTAGAATTCACTACATTCTTTGCGTTTTCATCTCAACTCATTATCTTGTGATCCGCCCCCCAGTATGAATAACCAATACGAGTCCGAATTGCCTTCAGTCAATGAAGAGCCTGGACACATTGTATAATATATATCTATCACATACTTCACTCTCATCGTGAACAGAGTATAGGTATATCAGAAGAAGTGAAGAACGGTAGAATCAACTACACATTTCACGTGTTCATCCTAACGCATTATCTTAGGCTCCGCCCCTCATCCTGAAGAACCAAAACGAGTCCGAATTGCCTTCAGTCAATGGAGAGCATGGGCACATTGTATAATATATATTCTATCACATACTTCACTCTCATCGTGAACAGAGTATAGGTATATCAGAAGAAGTGAAGAACGGTAGAATCAACTACACATTTTCCGTGTTCATCCTAACGCATTATCTTAGGCTCCGCCCCTCATCCTGAAGAACCAATACGAGTCTGAATTGTCTAGGATCATTGAAAAACATGAAAACACTGTAGATATCTCATCACATACTTCACTCTTATCTAGAACAGACTGTAGGTACTTTTGAACTGTGAAAGTTTTATGTTGTATGGCAGAATTAACTAGGGTCCCTTGATGCAAACTGACGTATTTGTCATATTAACAGGGTACGGACAGTTCCTCCTCTCCTCTCACTCTCAAGTGTTTGTGAAGCAGTTATATAGTTAAATCCTCATTCAATTCTAGATTAACAATAGAATTCTGGCATTTGTTGTTTTTTAGGTTTTATTGAGGACATTGACGTATCATACGAAATTTCCACAAAGAATTCCTGATTCAACTCTACATAAAATATCTACATATTATATCCAAATGATGATCAATAATTTTCGAGTTTTTGATTGTTCAACTCCAGCATTATCTTTGTGAACATACATTTTTCTAAAAAATTAATATGTTTTACCAAATGGGACTGTTTTTAAGGCTGTACCTACAAATATTAAATGAATTTTGATTTCAGACTATGCTTTATGGCTGAGAAATGGTGGTTGATGTAGATATTTAAACTAATGTGCTCATATGTCATGTGTGTTATATAATTATATATTCATGTTGGGTTTCATTTTCGCAGTTTTCCACAGGTATAATTTTTTAAATGGGTAATTAGGCACAATGAGAATGTATATGTGATTTTGTATTTGTTTTACCTCGCATATTTTGCTGATGTATACACCGATTTTCTCAATTCGGACACTTCACTTTCCATATTCTAAGATCATTTGCATTTGTTGGAAAGCTGACAAATTCAAATTGGAAATCAAACTGATTGATACAGCCTATCGCAGCACATTTTACCACCCTCCCAAAACAGAATTGAATAATCTCCTATCAAGTTTTTTTTTACCGCCTATGAATGTGACGTGACACCAATGTCATGTCAGAGACGCCAATACACAAAACCAAGGAGCTGTGATCTCTTGATACCCTGTTAAGATGACAAATACGTCAATTTGCATCAAGGGACCCTAGAATCAACTAGATGCTTTGTGTTTTCATCCCAACGCATTATCTTAGGCCCCGCCCCTTAGCTTAAAGAACTAATACGATTTCCGAATTGCCTAAGATCAGATGCGATCTCTCAGAGGTTCACAAGTTTCATATGATTCAATAACTTTCTGCAGAAAACAATGTATATTACACACAAGAAATGTATACCAGATGTTTTATAACGCTCGATGAAAGTTGGATTGAAAAATAATACTGTGTTAAATGTAAATAAAATACTGCCTCCTCTGATTCTACGACGTGAAGACAATTTTGAGTTGTTACACTACTAAAACTTGTCTTGCCTCGAAGAACCTCTTTTTTCTTTTTGTAAGTCTTTGGAACTTGAATCACATTTATGTAACGAAATTATTCTCAAAATAGAATACCATACTATAGTTACACCATTGATACATGTAATTTTTTTGAGCATAAACAAAAAACCGACTATGAAGATTCCAAATTTTTTGCATATTTCTCAAAGTTTATTTTTACAGCATGTCCAGGATCCAAAACAGTATTCTTGCTTTCTCTAATCAGGTACGTGAATAACCTAATAGGAATAAAATGATACGAGAATATGTAATCGGAAGTATATTTCCATGGGAAGAAATTATAATTATATCTTACTGAATAAACGAATTGTTTGTCCAAATCGCAGATGCAGGTCCAAAGGAAACACAGAAACAATAAAAATTACTCCTATTTCAATTATTATAAAATGTTAACACTAATTACAGATTACAGGTAGAAGTGACGTCATTTTACTGGACGCTTGCGCAATTAAAGTATGGAATCATGTTTCAAAATCGCAGTCTTGTAAAGAAAACAATTAAAATTATTCTTATGCATACGCTTAAATTGAGTGAATAAGAACATAAAATCACATTTTCTTGTAATGAGACTACCCTTGCAATATATCACCATACTAGTGTTAGACCCTATATACAGCTGTCATTTTTATGATAAAAAAAAACCGACGATGAAGATACCCAAGTCCATCTATACAGGATTAGAATCTGAAACAAGTATTTTGCTTTATCGAATCAAGCGCATATTCGGAAGTATATTTTCATGCGACCCATTCATAATAATAATCATAATCTACTGTATAAAACGGAATGATTGTAGTCAAATCCGCAGAGAGGCGGTTCGAAACAAAAATACCAAAGAAAATTATTCCTATTCCTATTATGAAACGTTCACAATAATTACAGATTGAAGGTAGAAGTGACGTCATCTTACGGGATGCTTGCGCAATTATACTAGTGAATCGAGTTTCAAAATCGCTGTTTCTGAAAACAATTACAATTATTACTCTGCATGCGCTTGAACGGAGTGAATAGGAACATATGAACAGACAAAAAATTATATTTTTGACTCATTTTGCTAACGTTTATGTAAAAATTGAGAGTAAACTTGAATTAACCTCATTCCTCAAGAATGTTGGGTTGTTGCACAGGATGTGATGAAAAAGTTGATATTTTCACTGAACATCCTGTTTGAAGTCTTTGGAACCTTAATCAATTTATTTTGAGGCTACCCTTGAAATAGATTACTATACAATTTTTACATCCTATATACAGCTGTCACTCTTGAGATGTAAAATCCGACGATGAGGTTACTAAAGTCCATCTATACAGGACGTCTAGAATCCGAAACAGTATTTTTGATAACCATAAAAAAATGATACGAGCAGATGTATTTGGAAGTATATTTCCATGCGGGACGCAATTATAATAATAATCATAATCTACTGAATAAAACGAAATGTTTGTAGTCAAAACCGCAGAGAGGCAGTTCCAAAATTAACACAACAACCATTGAAAATTACTCCTATGTCTATTATAAAACGTTCACACTAATTACAGATTAAAGGTAGCAGTGACGTCATCTTACACGGCGCTTGCGCAATTAAATTAGAACCTGGGTCGGGGCGGCATGTCTCTTCGTGGTCCGGGTCCACCAGCGCCGCCTGAATAGCTACAATACAAAACGAACAAACGGGTGATTACATTCTCAGCGCCATCTTAGCATTCGCGACTTCATTACCGGTCACACTAGCGAAAATAGATTTCACGCGCGAAACAAACACCGACCGACAAACAACCAATGGAAGGACACTACTTGTAATCAGCTTCTCGTTATTCTCATATATTTTTCGAAATAATTTATTTTGTATAATACAGTGTCATTCATAGAGTTGACATCATATGGGGACAACTTTAAATAATAATTTATTATGAAAATCGACTTCGGCGTTAAGTTTTGCTTCAAAAAAGATGGAAAATGGCCTACTCGGTCGGAGTCACGTGACTTTCGCTACAAAAGTTATATTCTCTCAAATTAATCGCTGAAAATAGAATTATTTGTTCGAATTTCGAAAATGTTTACAAAGGAAAGTTGTTTCTATTCCAGTTTTTCGCACATGTGTCTCCAATTTGAAAGTTCTATTGCTACTTTCAGTTCTTGATGTTTTGATTCCTTCTAATTATTGTAACTCCGATTTTGATGATTTTGGCATCATTTTACTACTGAAAAAATCAATTCAATTTCCTGAATGTGTGACAAAATAACCATTCAGTATCATCTATTGGGTTTGATATACATGCGGTATAGTTACTTTTCATGTTGCTAAGAAACTATAAAGTTTGTTAGCAAGACAAGTTGAACTGAAAGCCATTTGGGTTTTCAACTGTGAGATTGAATTATATTCGGTACCAACAGTCGCCTGGTTTTAGGTATGTACTATTATTGTATACAATCATGAATGTTACATAGAGTATATCTGAATATGCGAATATGTTTATGATATTAGCACCTCATTTAATTTTAGTTCTGTTGCTTGTCAAACCTGTCAGACTGTTATAATAAAATCCATATCTGAGTTTGCTGAGAACCTATTCTTCTTCAAATGATAGACGATACATCACCTTTGCAACAACCATAACAAAAATATAAAGTGGGGATTTCCATTTTCTGAAGTAATTAATATTTTGTCGATAATTAGTGAGTTTGTCATAATAAATTTGGAAAAATAGTGTCAAGAATATTGAATATTATAGAAAATATATATGAAGAGGTTATTCGAGTGGATCTTTTTCACTGATTCCAGGTAATTCGTTTACATAATTGATCCGCCTCGAAGGACCAACAATTATTATGTTAACGAATTAGCTGGAATCAGTGTATTAGATCCGCTCGAATGACCTTTTAATATATCTTTTTCATAATTTTCAATATTGTTGAAAACGTCAGTGAAACTGAAGAAATCACCTTGGAACTACTATATTTGTCATGTAAGTCGAGATGTAAGTCATAGAGAAAAGAATGACTTCCATCACCAAAACACATACCACGTGAACGGCTTGGAAAAGTTGGTTGACGATTATGCGCAGGCGCAACACGTGTACCGTACTGGGCCGGCCTTGGTCAACTTAAAACATACCATGATTGTGTCATCGCTGTTACTCTAATAACAAGCGGCCATTCAAACTCATCAAGAACAATTCTAATGATCGATCCTCAAGTATTGTCCTTCTATTTTTTGGTTATAGGTCAGTAGAAACAAACCATGTAAATTCAACGTGAAAACGGGATTTGCACCAGTTGGCACTACTTAAACGTGAGGTCAATGTCAGAGTCAACTACCCGAAAATTTTACCAGATGTGGCCTGTTTTATCGCAAATATTCGAAAAAATTATGTCGAACATTTGAACAAATATGAAACCTCAAGTTATCGGAGGGATTGAGCTCAATTACTTTTCTTACTCTCAATGTGGAACTTTACACCTATTCTTACTTCGACGGAGAAAAATACATCGTAGGAAGAGGCCATATGAAAAGAAGAAGTATATTCATCACTTCTACCAACTCGACCTCACGTAATGTTAGCCCTCATTGGAAAACGATTTTATGTGAATGAAAACGAATTTTTAAACTATCTCAAGAAAAATTACAATACGTTTTACCGCTTGCCATATCATTAAATACCAAATCTGATTTCGTTTCAATGCATTCTGTATTCATAAATTCACCTTTCTGTGTAAAATTTAATACAAATTCCATATTGATAGATGAAAATGCGAAACTTAACATACACTCACCGGCAAAAAAAACCGGCCACCAAAAAATTTGCCGAAATTATTCTCCCTGTAACTTTTTCAATCCTTATCCGATTTTCATGAAATTTCGATTAAATTGTAGATATATGTTCCAGAATGATAACCTGAATATTAGTTTCCGTGAAAAGCTGATGACTTGATCATCATACAGGGAAAAACCAAAGTTACTATTTCACCCTTCACTTTTTAACGCCCTGTGGCGGAATTGGATAGTAGAACTTGGCTTCATTTTGCTTTGGATTGAAGTTGAATTCTCAGCACAATAGTATTTGATTCACGTCAATATCTCATTTTTAAGATAAGATACGAGTGTTTTAAGAAAGTATAGCATTTTTCCATTTTTATCAACAATAATCAGAACCTACATAAACTTATTGATTAACAACTCAAAGAATCAATATCATTCATTTCAACTCATTTTCTTAGCACTCACCAGGAAAAACCTTGGTAACAAAATCAAACAAAAAGCAGACAAGTAGTCACTAACGAGTATGCCTTCGAGTTTGAATTATAGCTTTCAACCGCCGTAGCATCGAGCTGATCAAATTTCTCAAGTAGTCTTGAAGAATTGCCCAAAATTCTTCCTGAAGGGCGACTCGTAGTTCTCGAAGAGTCTTTGACAAAGCCGGACGAAGACGAATGAGCCTCTGGACTTCTTCCCTAAGATGCTCTATAGGTTCTGCATTGTTGTTAATCGAAATTAAAAAACTCCATGCGTTCCTAAAACACTTGTATCTTCTCTTAAACAGAAGATATTGACGTGAATCCAGAACCATTGTGTTGAGAAGGGACGAACAAGGATCACACTTCAATTCAAAGTATGATCAAGCAGAAGGTTGGAGAATGGTTCTCAATAATTGTTAATAAAAATAAAAGAATCCATACCTTCTTGAAACACTTGTATCTTCGCTTTAAATATGGTTATCGATGTGGATCGAAAACCATTGTGTTGAGAAGGGATCATACTTCAGTACAAAACATAATGAAGCTGAGTTCAACCACTCACCTTTGCCACAGGGCGTTAAGAAGTTAAGGGTGGAAGGGTAACATTTGCTTATCTCTGTATAACGATCAGGACATCAGCCTTTCTCAAGACCTTATATTCAGGTTAAATTCCGAAACATTAATATACGATTTGGTCGAAATTACAACGAAATCGGACAAGAATTAAAAAAGTTACAGGGCGAACAATTTGCCCTAGTTTTTTGGTGGCCGGTTTTTTTTTGCCGGTGAGTGTAGAATTCAACGTGAAAACGTTCGTATGAATTCTGATTTCCGTAGTGTGAAATGAAGTTGCGAATGATATAGATATTGGAAAGTACGAGACGTCCGCACAGAATGGTCAGAAATCTTGGCAAACACTATTTGAATGAACGTTTAACTTTGATCGGAAGAAATCCTGTAGATGAGGCGATTTTTCTTAGTGAGACATGTGATCGCAACTTTTTGTCGCACCAGGACTAAAATATTGTTTGCGTCATATTTTGCTCAAACAAATACTCCGCTTTCAATGGGTAATTCTCGGACATTTTAACGCAATTCTTCTTCTCAATCAGTGTGTTCCGTCTGTTATATGTACGATGAATAAATAATTATGAAATTTCCGCTATGGCTTTTACTTTCTGGCGCTCACCACTATACAGCGTGTCAATCAAAACAGTTGTCTGCCAACAATCATCCGTATCCGTAATGCGAATTGTGGATTTTTTATAATACATAATTATGCATAGTCGCATATGGTGCGTTATGAGAATAAATATTCCATGGCACCTGTGATAAACGAACATGTACTGAAACTTGAAATCACGAGAAACATATTAATGCCATCTGCTTACAATCAACAATTTTTGAGAAAAAAAAAGGTTTCCCAAAGAACAACTTACAATTTTTTACTAGATCCAGTGTCATTCAAAAAGTTGGCATCATATGGGAAAACTCGACTTGGGCGTTAAGTTTTGCTTCAAGAATTATAGAAATGGACTACTCTGTCGGGATCACGTTACTTTCGCTACATGTCAAAAGTACACATTAATCGCTGATAATAAGCTTTTTTGTTAGAATTTCAAAAACTTTTGTTCAAAAAAGTTGTTTCTATTTCAATTTTACATGTCTCGAATTTGAACGTTTTATAACAACTTTTATTATTCCATATTTCTTCAATTTCTTTGAACATAAAAACATTTACAAATCTGGCAGCGTCGAAATATGTGGCTATTCTTTATGCGAAGCCAGAATTCGGTTCATGACGTCATCGAACCTGGCGTCGCCGAATTGAATTATTGAAAAATTATATTTTTTCGATGATTTTAAATAACGAATGATTGCATCAAAGACTATGTATACTCGAATGATCAATATAAAATAGGTATGTGGCGTAAATTCCACAGAAATATGATTTTTTTGAGAGAATAGTCCCTGCTTCAGATTTCTGTTGATGCTGCTAAGTTGATGTATCCTCTTATCATTCAGGAGCGGAATTTATTCAAATTGTTTTTTTTTCAACCAAAAAGATGCCAAGGTCATCTATGAAAATATTATTGAACTACTTTACATATCTAACCAAAGTTCAGGACAGTTGAAGTTTCAAGTGGAAGAAATCGAAAAATATCAAGAAATAAAACTTGCAATAGAACATTCAAATTCGAAACACATGTGTGAAATTGAGATGGAAACAACCTTATTGTTACAAGATTATCAGCGACTGATTTTGAAAAAATTTGACCTGCAGCAAGTCACGAGACTACGACGAAATAGTCTATTTCTCATCTTATATGAAGCGATTTATTTGCTTCTATTTTCCGGACATTCTTCCGTCAAGTGATGACAAGTTGAAACAAAAAGCAAATGAAAGGGGTACATTTCCCTTTTCCGAATATCCAAACGTGCCGTGTTTCGAACTGATCTAAGTTAGTTGCAGAGCGTCAATCTTTCCGTGAATATTTCGCCCTCGTCGAAAGAAACGTATATTTGAAGCGAGTTGAATAATCATTGAAAGTGTTTCCAATATGATGCACCATTCATGAATGACACTGTATAGGAAGACTGAATTCAGTGCCTGAGTCCTCATAACAACAAAAAAAGGTTCAGCAGAAAAAAATATTCTAGGTTCCCAACGGCCTCGGAACAATAGGAAATTTCACCATGGTTTTTTGAATTTTTTTCACGATTTAGAACACATAATGCGTGAATTCAGCATTTTTTCAATTTTCTTATGATTGCGGTTGACCCAGAGAAATATTATTAAATTGAACCTGAATTCAAACGATAGCTCGTATGCGCGCGAAATATTGATGGCATTTCATTGGACGAATAGAAGGTGCGTCACACTGCGTCATACACTTCGGACGAACATTCTCATTGGGTAATTCGTCTTGTCACTTGGTCTTGTCACCATTTGTCATTGCATTTGTCACTCAATAAAAACTATAATAGTGAAATTCTTTCGTTCTGTTGACATGCAATGAACGTCATTTGAAAGAACGCACATTACCTGATTCAGTTCAGTTCAAGTGGAATATTTCAGTTAATTCAGATTGAAAGAATATCACTAATATGACACTGATAGATCACTGAAAATGAAATGAAATAGGTCGCGTGCAAGAACTGTCAGATGACCGACCCTGGAAGCAAAACATATTTGTTTACAAGTGATCGAAATAGTTTTCCACAATTATTTTGGCATATGAATCGTATTTTTCCGCTATTCATCAATTCGCTAATGCCACCACATTGTGCTGTTGTAAAATGCACAAAAACTGCAGCGGAAGATGAAGAAATCCGGATGGTACATTATGATTCAAAAGTAAGTACCTACTATAGTCACTCACATAGTTTTCATTTTTGAAATTTGGTTATTTCTCTGATTTCTCATCGGAATTCCTTCTGCAATAGGATCAGCTAATAGAAATATACCTGAAATTTCTAGAATAATGCAAGAAGATCGGATTCATGCAATCAATCGGTAGGACTGGTCTGACATGCTGACGATCGTGTGTGTTGTAGACATTTTCAATCTATTAGGAGCATTAGCTTGTATTGCAGAAAAGGCAGAAGGCAGAAGGAATTTTAATAAGGAATGACAACATTTCATAATGCTAACTATGTGAGATTACTATTTACCTGAAAAATCATATTCCCTAGTCTCTTTTGCTGCATTTTTTGTGCATTGTACAACAGCACAATGCAAAGGCATGCTTGAATTAATGAATAACGCAAGAAACACGATTCGTATGCCAAAATATTGTGAAAGAAAAACTATTTCAACCTTTTGATTCCTCTGTAACCAAATAAAAAAGTGAGGTTGTGTTTCAATAATTCACAGAAGAATGAGGTTGTGTTTCAATATTTTGCCTCCAGGGTCGGTCTTCGTGCACGCGACCTATTGTAGTTTCAATATAAATACAGCCACAGAGTGACATATTTGTGTATGGACCAGGTGCTCTAATGGCAAATACCGCGCCAGTGCCAGCTATAGGAACAAGACGTGGAAAATGTTAGGTTAGTGAGCATATCAACATTGATAAAAGTGTAGTGATTATAGGTCGCGTGCAAGAACTGTCAGATGACCGACCCTGGAGGCAAAACATATTTGTTTACAAGTGATCGAAATAGTTTTCCACAATTATTTTGGCATATGAATCGTATTTTTCCGCTTTTCATCAATTCGCTAATGCCATCACATTGTGCTGTTGTAAAATGCACAAAAACTGCAGCGGAAGATGAAGAAATCCGGATGGTACATTATGATTCAAAAGTAAGTACCTACTAAAGTCACTCACATAGTTTTCATTTTTGAAATTTGGTTATTTCTCTGATTTCTCATCGGAATTCCTTCTGCAATAGGATCAGCTAATAGAAATATACCTGAAATTTCTAGAATAATGCAAGAAGATCGGATTCATGCAATCAATCGGTAGGACTGGTCTGACATGCTGACGATCGTGTGTGTTGTAGACATTTTCAATCTATTAGCAGTATTGGCTTGTATTGCAGAAAAGGCAGAAGGCAGAAGGAATTTTAATAAGGAATGACAACATTTCATAATGCCAACTATGCGAGATTACTATTTACCTGAAAAATCATATTCCCTAGTCTCTTGCTGCATTTTTTGTGCATTGTACAACAGCACAATGCGAAGGCATGCTTGAATTAATGAATAACGCATTAACGCAAGAAACAGGATTCGTATGCCAAAATATTGTGAAAAACTATTTCAACCTTTTGATTCCTCTATAACCAAATAAAAAAGTGAGGTTGTGTTTCAATAATTCACAGAAGAATGAGGTTGTGTTTCAATATTTTGCCTCCAGGGTCGGTCTTCGTGCACGCGACCTATAAGGAACTATCAACATGATTTCGAGGTTAATCTTTTTCTTCTTCTATAGTTAGTTTTGTAGCCATTTTCTCTCAAGTCACAGATCACCCAACCAATCTGTGCTCGAGTTCTGTGTCTGTGGTTTTGTGCAACACATCCTCTTTGGGTCGTCAGAGGGAGCCTCAAGAAAATACAAGTGACGTCACACCGCGAAAAATGGTCGTTGGGAACTCTCTCAATTTGTAGCACTTTTCAAGTATTAATTAAACGGTTGTAAAAGAATCAATAGATGAGAGGAAGTGCTATTCGATCTGAGTCACGTATGAGACCGTTCGACATATAAAAAGGTCTATTTTCAATCATAGTGAAATTGCCTATTGTGAACCTCAAACAAATAGAAAAAAAAAACATTTTCCACTCACCCTCTCTGCTGCGGCAACGGCGGATACGCGCTATCGTAGCCGCCCCCCACCCCGCCAGCCCCTCCTCTCGCCGCCGGCTGTCCGTACGAGTCACCGTAGCCGCCCCCGCCACCACCCCCGTAGCCGCCCCGGTTGCTGTAGCCACCGCCGCCATAGCCGCCTGGGGCCGATTCGCCGCCGTAACCGCCTCCTGCGCCATAGCCACCGCCGCCTCCGGTCCCGTAGCCGTTAGTGCCGCCGCCATATCTAGGAAAAAAGGGAAGAAGAGGAATTTGAAACCGAAGTACGGATATACAGGGTGACATAGGTACATTGCATAGTGCCACACAATAGAGGACACTAAAATAAGGAAAAAATTGGTAACACGTCATTACATCCACGGTCATTATATCCGTGACGCCATAGTGGAAGGAGAAGATGGTGTGCTCAACAGAAAGCTCAAACTCGTCTTGTTCTGCGCATGACGTCAGCTGGGATATAACTGTCATTATTATTATTTGTTTTCGTGATTGATGTCTCGAACTTCAGATATTATATAAGTACTAAAATTGAATGAAATGATTTCGAAATGCCTACTTGTTTCGTTTCTGGTTATGGAAATTCCAACTAACATACAAAAGGCACAGATATTGAATTTTTCTGACTTTCCAAGAATGGAGACCTAATGAAACGATGGAAGCTTGCTGCCGACAGAATATAAACTCAAATTATGGTACCTACCTTTTGTTCCTTATATCGTCATTCCAAAGTATTCACCTATCATATTATCATCACATTCATATTACAGCACGTATTTCTTCAAAACATTTCCATGCAAAATGTTCCGAAACAACTGCGAAAGTACGGTTCTTGAATTACACACCTCCAGAAAATCACAAATATTTGAAACAAGATGCCACCTACAGAACATCTTCCGAATATCAAGTCAGAAATGATTGAAAATGAATTCAAAACTCTTAATTCCTCACAAAATATAAATTGCAGCAAAGATTTGAATAACAAAACGGCAAAAATTGATACTCCTGTTGCTCCTGTTGTCGATGTCGGAGCAGAAGCAACGTCAACGTCGTTAACTGCTGAATTTTAATCTGTCAGAATCGACACAGTAGTGGATCATTCAGATGGGATTGGCAATGCATGATAATTCGTATGTATTTGCCATTTGCGATTGTGAATTACCTCAAGATCACAATTTCCAGAATCAATGAAATAATAAAATCGAAGAAATAGGAACCTGTTTATATAAATTGAATTATTTCTAAACAGATCGAGAAACTTATAGAAATTTCAATGAGCATGATTGAATTCATTGCGCACGCCCATGGCAATGGTATCTGTCTATGACTAATAATAATAATAATAATAATAATAATTTATTTACCATGAAATTACAAATTTGATTGAACTTACATTACATGAGACATATAGCACATGGAGAATAAATGGGAGGAAAGCCCACAAAAGTAAAACTTGTGCGTGGGCCGATTTTTCCATCTATATGTTTGTGCGTGAGTTGGAGCTTGATGCAAGTTTTCATTGACGTAATTCATTCAAGTAAATGTTGTAAATTTTATGTACATGATAACGCACAAGGACATACGCATACACATATACATGTTAACAGTAATTTGTGTTAGTAAAAATGTATAATATAGTTATAAGATAAAATAGTTAAATTGTAGACAGTATTTGACAGTAAAATGTATAATAAAGTTATAGAGTAATATAAAATAGTGTATATAGTTGTGGACAGTAATTGGTATCAGTAAAATGTATAATATAGTTGTAAGATACAATATAGTAGTGAAAATTGGTGAGTGCTATTTTATGTATAACATGTTATCAAGTGGTTATAGGGGCTAATATATATGTACATTAGAATAAGAGTATTTGATTAAACATTGGTACAATTTCTCAATTTTAGTGGTTAGATTGTTATTGACCTCTTTCAGCAACTCGTATATATCGTCGATAGTAACTTTTGGTTTCTTCTCCGACATATTTCAGGATATTCTTCTGGACGCCACTGGGGTTTCAATAACGATTTATCTGTTGTATCCGTTTTTGCTGCTGCTCTTTTTCGGTGAATTTTTATACACTTTTGTCTTTGGTTACCACAATTTTCACAATTTACGTATTTGTCTGTGGGAATATTCACAAGTGATTTTCGTTACGCAAAAGAGTTTGGTTTTCTGAACAGTTTGGTATCACTTTCGAGATTATTACCATTGTTTAACCTCTTTAAAACGCACAAAACTTCCGATAGCACTACACGTGTGTAGATACAACATTGCAGGAGTATGGACATTAGCAGCTGATATTGGTATCCCAGATGACGTCACATAATATGCGCGTAGGCACACCATCTTCTTCTTCCACTATGCCGTGACGCTATATCCGCGACATTATAATATCCTCGCGACAATATATCCGTGGCGTTATATCCGTGACATTAAATCCGTACATGCTTTCATAGTAGCCCATCGTTTCAATTTAAGTTGTGAATTGTTTCTTATTGTCTGTCGTACCGAGCATATCGTTATTTTTATTTTGTCATTTACACGTGCGAGAGGGTTCGAGCGTTCGATTTTTGATAACAATGCCTTTGAAATTCGTACAGTCGCAGTATGGTAATCCAATGTTGATTCATGATGGATATGTTCATACTAAAAAAAGTGAAAATGCTCCTTGCACCATCACGTGGCGGTGTAAACAGTATTCCAAGCATTCCTGTCGTGTTGTGGTTCATACATGTTCTAATAAGAAAACAGGTACCGAATTGTTTTTTAGAAGTGCCTATATCTTTCGAACCATTTCCATCACGTGATATGTTCTGATTCGTGTTTTTCGAAGATTATTTTCGCAATAAAATTGTGGAGACCGAGTTTGGTCAGGGAGTTTAATTCTGGTCCACTAATAGCATGGCGTCAGCCCACTGTGATCATTTATGTAGTGATTTAGGCTTTCAAGAATGTTTTTCCTTCCTTTCGAACCCCGGAGGAGGGTCTGGTTGTTAATAATAATAATAAGTTTTTATATGAGCGAATGCGCATGCGTCCATAATGTATCACGTGACCAATCTGACAATGGTTTGGGAATGGTTCGAAAACTCAAGATTCTCGTGTTTCTGTTTGTTGTAACTTTGCAGGTTAGGTGAATTTTGTGCTTTTTTTTATTTAATTAGGATCAATTGTTAGTGACGTTCCTAACCATCATCATTCTGCCGATGTTTCTTCTGTCGAGGCTGCCAAAGCCAAGGCAAATTTAAAGAAGCGTGCTAGAAAATGGCCATCACCCAAATCTTTTGATTGAATGTGATATTATGAAATTATTATATAATATCGTTATTATTGTTGTATCTGTTAATGTTATTTCGAATATGGTATGGTGTCGCGGATATAATGTCGCGGATATAGTGTCGCGGATATATTGGCATGCGGATATAATGTCGCGGATATTATGTCCGCGGATAATGTGTCGTAGAACCAAAAAATTTCCTATGAACATGGGTCCGCAAGGCCTTTGGTTAATAGATATGGGGTGTTGAGTTTCAATTTTTTTTTTTGTTTTCTTTGAATATCTTTAGCCAGAGACGCAAGAAATGGATAAAATCTGGTATACAGGGGTTTTTTATCATGCTAAATTCAAATATGATCTTAGTTTTGTGATTACTGATAGAGGGCGCTACATACAGGGTTCCATCCCTATTGAATCGGTCGTAACTTTTTTGCTATTTAATGTATGTCATTTTGGACGGAAAATAGTTATTTGTTTAACTAGGCAGCAAAGTAGTAGATTGACTGCCGAGGCTGAATTCGTAGCCGAGAGTAGCGAGGCTAGGAATCCAGCTAAGGCAGTCAATCTACTTTGCTGCCGAGTTGAACATATAATTTTTTCTGCGATTGTTCATAATGATATATATATCTCTTTATTTTTCCTGTAGTGTTCAATTAAAATGAAATTTGATTGAAATCGCAGTTGTTGGAATGGTTGGTTGCTATGGAAATGTCCATAATAATTATAGTTTGACAATTCATGAAATTTCTGACAGTTGTGCGAACAAATATCGGTATATTTAAATTATTATACAATGGACAGTGATAGCGACCTGGAAGTACTTAAACCTCCAGAAATAAGGAAGGTGGCAAAAAATATAGAGTTGAATTTGTTGCCGGAGAAGTCTCGGATGAAATATGAAGGAAATTATAAACGATTTATGGATTTTTAATTTTGCTAATACATATCAATCAGCAAAGTAACCACTTTGCTGCCTAGGCAGGAAAAGTAATACTTTGCTGATTGATATGTGTCAGCAAAATTAATATATGCTGCCAATCGGAGGAAAAATTAATATTTGCTGCCAGTCGGAGAAAAAATTTGTTATCCCTTCTTTTATACTCAAGAAAGGTATACCTTGTCTAAATCGCTGAAACCAATGGTTCCAGTACAAATGCATCTAAAAGCCGACAATGCACTAAAATTATTCAATAAGCGCCAAAGTGCTCATTAGATTAGGACGGCAGAAAACGGCCCTGCACACAGCTGATGAATAAACACGAAAAATAAGTCCAAAAAAGCATACTCACGCCGGTTTGGCCAGGCCGCCCTGGTCCCTGCGGCTGAACAGGTCTCCGCCGCCCCCGCCGCCGCCTCTCGGGATGTCCGGCGCCGGCCGGCCGCCCTCGTAGCCGCCCATCGGAGGCCGCCTGTCCTCGTAGCCGCCCCCGCGGGAATTGTCGAAGGTCGGGCGATCGCCGTACGGACGACGGTCAGAGAAACCTTCGCAATTTCAAGGATGCTTTGTCAGTACAGGGTCCCACCCAATTATCAAATCTCGAAGACTAGCAATCGTATTCAAAATTTTACATTCAATTCAATTCAATTTATTTGTTCACCGTTCAAGCTGAGCTGCGCTTAAGTGGTTCAGGAACGCTGACTACCTGCAGACCAGTTTCGAGCTGTTGGCTCTCATCAGTACAGGTATTAATAAAATTAATTATATATCAATATAAAATGCTCCATAAAATGTTTATAAAATTACTGTAAGACTCAAAGAACACCTAAGGAAGCTAGGCTTACAGGAGGACAGCACCTGCAGATTCTGTGAGGAAGAACCAGAAACACCCCATCACATACTGATGGAGTGTGACGCTGTACAGGGTGCGCCTCTCAAAATGGAATCCCCCTTTAACTCTTTCGTTTCCAGAGATATGGAAAAATGTTGAATGAAAAAGTTGTCTCAAACGACCCAAACTTTCATTTTGTGAAGTTGTTTCATATACAGGGTCATTCGATTTTCCAGAAAGGACATCAACTTTGAATTTTTTCAATGGAACACCCTATATAATATATGACATGTCGATAGAACCTTTTTTTTTCTGATTTCAAAAATATATATGAGTTGCATATTTGAATGGAAAATAGTTGAGTTATTGATGATCCGTAAAGGATTATCTTTGCCATCGATTTGGCGAAAATTTAATAACCACCCATTGTCTGGATGGCGATGCAACTGGCCAGCTGGGTCGCCAGACCTCACCCCACTTGATTTTTATTTGTGGGGCTACTTGAAACAACAGGTCTATGAGTCGTCAATTGTGAATATGGAAGAAATGAAAGAGGAAATCAAATTGGCACCGCAAGGAGTCAGAAAGCCAAGAAACATAAAAGAAGAAGAAAGAGAAAATCACAAATATATGCGCACAAATTGATCGCAACGTGATACATAGGGTCACAATAAACGTTATCAAAAGAGCTAGAAAATGTTTGCAGCAGAATGGACGACAAATTGAGCAGTTTTAATTCGATTTCAATTGTGTTAAAATAATGAAATCAAATCATATAAATTTTTTATTGAATCGTTTCATTTTTTGCCATATCTTTGTAGTCGTTTGAAAAAGTTCCATCAAACCCGGCATTGTTGAATTTGTAATAATAACTCTACTAGAATATGGAATAATATACTGGGTGTCCCTATTCAAATAGGAAAGTTTAGGTGTACTTCGGTGTGACCCTGTATATCTACGATTTATTCAATAGCATATTTCGAGTGAGCATCATCAAATATACTGGGTGACCAAATTTCAAGTCATTCGATCACGCGGTTGATTTTCCACAGGGAGGGACATTTTAGCAGGGACACAGTGTATATCTATCTATCATGCTGCAAACTCCATTCTCATGGAAAATGAATACCATTCCCTGCCCTTTTGAACAATATACCATTCGTCACACTCACCCCCGTATCCGCCACCCCTCCTATCGTCGAAGCCGCCGCCTAGGCCCCCGCCGCCGCCCCTCCCGTCATCATAACCGCCGCCGCCGCCCAGCCCGCCCCTGTACCCGCCGCCGAAACCGCCCCGCTGCGGCCTGTCGTAGCCACCCCGGCCGCCGCCTCTGCCGCCGCCCCCCTGATAGGGACTGAAGTCCCCTCGGCCGCCGAAGCCGCCGTTACGGGCGCCCCTGTAATCGCCGCCGCCACCTGCAAGAAAGAAAGGTTCGAGAATTGACATTTGAAAAAAACAAGTGTGCGTGGAATTGCGAGAAAATATGAAGAAACGTGAACATTTTCATATTATTTCACAAACTGTAGGCGGGGTGTTGCCTAAGTTGTGTTCTAGATCCTTTAGAGGATGAACTTCAAAAATGATAATGATAAATGATACTCAGAAGGTTTCCAAACAAAACATACACACACACATTTATTCTTGGTAATGACCAACAATGAAACTTACCCTATATAAACAAATGAACTAATATTCCTGTGAGGAAGGGCATCTTCTGTTCTGCCCGAACTCCGAAGATTCGGGCACAGTGGCAACTTTACAAACTTACAATCTGTAGAACTTAGATGTCCCTAACTCGTATAACAAAAACAGCTAGAAATGGAACTGTCAGTTGAACTGGCAGTCCAACTCTCATTCGAACCGGTAGTCGCACTGTCGAACGTCTTTTAAATAGTTGTCTATATTTTCGGTAACGTGACAGTAAGGAATTCAGGTCGATAGTCCAGGTTCGTTGAAGTCAATGTCACGCCTGTGTTCATGTTCAACTACTATGGAAAAAAGTTCGATCACGATTCGAAAATTTTGGAATTATGAAAAAAGACGTGACCGTTCAATGACTACGAACCTTCTATGAATTTGAATGAAATCAAGGAAAATAACCCTATTCGTGACATTATGTAATACCACAAGTAGGGGTGGGAAAATATAGGAATAACACTACATGAATCACTGCACTGGCATGAACATTCAAACCACAGATTCAAACCACAGATTCAAACTGCCTAATTAAAGTGATGAATTCCAGAATTTATCAACTTAGATACATGCGTAAAGTCATAAAAAACGATAGACTCCGATGTTCTACTTTGCCGAAATACAATAACGTTTAATATATGGCATAAAGATCTCTTCGTAACCCAGAAAAAATTTATTCCAACCATCCTCATCAAGCCAAGGTCTCACACCAAGCAAGCCACTGTTCATACAACTTACCATTTTACCTCTAGCTTGTCTGTATCTCGAGGTTGTCTGCTATACCGGGTGACACAGGAAACATGTAGCAGCCTGTAGTTTTTTTATTTGAAGAGATATAATTTTGAAATTCACAGGGGGCATATAATAAATGATAGCGCACTTTTCGAACTTAACGAAAATTTTTTTCAACCACCTGTTTGACCGGAAGTGACCCCAACTTTTTTTTTTAATGTCACCCTGTACATTTCTTCCGTCTATCTTTTTCGCCTTGAAATTCTCTATCCAACCATGTATCACAAAGTGGCATTTATTTCTTAATTCGCTGTTAAATTGCTTTTTATTCAAAAAGAATAAGTTGGCTGTGACATGAATTCGATAATATATCGACACTTGGTAGGCTTTGAAATTTAAATATCATTAGTAAACCGATATTATTCAAAATGTTTTGATATTCTGATCAATGTCTGCAGGTTGTCAATAGCTTGTTTGAGTCTAGATGAAAACCTTCGAAAATAACTCATGATATTGAGGAATCTAAGATAGGAACATATTTTTTCGAATTCAGCTACTCGTACAGAAACTATCTGTCTTTTATTTTCGCCATGTACCTATCACATGATCTTCCATTTGGAATAATAAAACTAAAATTGTTCCTCTTATACGATGATCCACATAGGGCTATCAGTCTATTTTTTCATAATTATTTCACTTAGTAGGCGGTGTACCTGCACAAAATGTTTTATGTGTTTGACAGTTAATCGATTGCATCAATAATTTTTCTTTTTCGTTTCTTGAATACATTTTATTCCGTCTCTATTGATAATATGCAATTTTAATCAACACATGAAGAAGAAAAATTATTGATGCAATCGATTAACTGTCAAACACATAAAACATTTTGTGTAGGTACACCGCCTACTAAGTGAAATAAATATAAAAAAATAGACTGATAGCCCTGTGGATCATCGTATAAGAGGAACAATTTTAGTTTTATTATCCCAAATGGGAAGATCATGTGATAAGTCCATGGCGAAAATAAAAGACAGATAGTTTCTGTACGAGTAGCTGAATTCGATAAAAAATGTTCCTATCTTAGATTCCTCAATATCATGAGTTATTTTCGAAGGTTTTCATCTTGACTCGAACAAGCTATTGACAACCTGCAGACATTGATCAGAATATCAAAACATTTCGAATAATATCGGTTTACTAATGATCTTTAAATTTCAAAGCCTACCAAGTGACGATATATTATCATCGAATTCATGTCACAGCCAACTTATTCTTTTTGAATAAAAAGCAATTCAACAGCGAATTGAGAAATAAATATCGAATAATAACTCTGATAAAAAATTATCGAGCTATCGATAATATAGATTCATCGGTTATATCAATATTATCGATAGTATCGATAATATCAATACTATCGATACAATCAATAATATAGATAATTCGGTAATATCGATAATATCGATAATACCGATAACATCGAGCATTTTCGATAATCTTTCTCGATAATTTTTTTCGATAATTTTCGAAATTTCCGTTGATTAATAATTATTGTTATCGCACACTCCTATAGTCCATTCCAACTGAGAAGACAGCATTGGAGATCCATAGGGCTATTATTGGTTAATATTGAAGGATTTACTCCTTCAGAAGATAAACCACCTAATATCTTTTGATTTGGTATGCAGTATAGTTCGCCTTCTACCCGTATAACACGCCCAATGTTCCCTCTCGTACGTCCCAATTATAAGAAGCATAATCTTCAGATTACTGTGAGCTGCATAGGCATCAAACAATAACCAGTACTTTTCGAATCATCTTAAAAACAAATGATTCTATGGAAATTTTACAAGAGACAAAAAATACTCAAAAAGGATTGAACACTAGAAGAAAAATAAATTGGAAGTCATTAGCGCACGTACAAAATAAATATGGGGGTAAGTATGTACTTGACCCCAAGTATTTTGAATATTTGACAGTTATTTTCTGTTTTGTTCTCCTCACATGATGTAACTCTTTGTGCTGAAGTAATGTACCAAGTTTGAGATTGATATCTTATTAAATACACAAGTAATTAGAAAAAAAAACTGTTTTTAATTTCCAACTTTGACACCCTGTATATTGAATATGAAGGGCTAAAATGAAAAATGGTATTTAGAAACTCATATTGTTTTTGTTCAAGGAATATATGGTTAATGGATTGACCTCCTTTTTGCGGACACCCTGTATTATTGTTTCTTACCTATTTTTGTCTGAAAATAAGAATTTTATAAGGAAAATGAGCAAACCACTAATTATATTATTAATGTAAAGGTTCACTTTTTTTGATTGATTGATTGTCTTTATTACCCCAAGAAACATTATTGTTCATAATAGGGATATATACAACAAAACATACATATAAAACATAATAAATCAAAACAATAATAATTGCACAATTATTGTTTCTCCTAAAAAAAAAATATAATAAACTCTAAAATGAAAATATTAAAATCCATTACAAGTAATCGAATTGTGAATGATAAGTACTATTAGTAGATATGGAATTAAAGTTTACTGAGCAGATATTTCTTTAATTTCATTTCAAATTTTTCTGCTTGTTCTATATTTTTCAACTCATTAGGTAAGGAGTTATACAAAATTATTCCATTATAGAATATTGATTGTTTACCAAAATTTGACTTATAATTATTTGCTATCAATAAAATGAGTTGCCTTGTTTCATGGGCGTGAATCATATTAACTTCATTAAAATTCAAATTCGATATTTTCAATTCCTTCCTGACAAAATGAATAAAACAACAAATTTTGAGTTCATATAATGAAACTAGATTCAGCATAGATATTCTTGCATATTTGACATGTTGATTTTCATATGTGAAATGCATCATTCGAATATATCACAAGTATATAGTGTCCAATGACAAAAAAGTAGAGGTAGTAGCTCTAAATGCCAGACAGATAGGAAAAGGGGAAAGTTCAATTCATTCCTGAAATATCTGGATAAATAGTAGTTTGTTCACATTTTCACAATCAAATTCATGTTTTTCAGATGAAAATGCTTCAATTGACATTACATTTTTCAGGGAAAAACATCCCATGATAAGTGCAACATCTCAGGTGGTACATGCAGGAAGAACCTCCAAGAAATCATAAAATTCCATGCTGAAAAAAAAAATGTACACAGCACAAATACCTCTAGAGTAGGGGCTCCCCCGGTCCCTTCCACCACCCCTGGGCCCCCCAGGCCCGCTCCTCCTCGGCTTTACCCTGCCCTTCTCCACTGAGATCTTGGCCCCCATGAAGTCCGTGCCATTCAGCTCTTCAATGGCCTTCATGGCCAGCGTCTGGTCCTCCAGGTGCAGGAAGCCGCATCTGTTGGAAAGAGTCTAGGTAAAACAATAGTAAACGTTTACTGAGTTAGCGGCTCAAACTCAACACTCAAAGTTTTCACTATAGAGAAAGAAGAAATATCATGTGTTGTGGGTGACGTCAGGAACACGCAAGATTTCAAAGAACCACTAAAGTTATTATAACTGGACCCTTCTCACCTGTTGGCGATGTCGCATTCCGATATCTCTCCGTAGGGCTCGAACAGCTTCCTGAGGTCGTCGGTGGTCACCCCCGTTGGAAGACTGCCCACGAAGACTTTGGTGGAATTTTCCGACCGGCCACGGCTCTGTGAGGGGCAGTATTATATAGAGTGACGAAGGCTCGATATGGGAATTAGACTTACCATTGTTATGTTTTAACGAGTACACGTTGCACTACAAATAATTCTACGGTAAGGAAATGATTATCAAAATCAGCACGACAATGAAGCGACGAAGCGTCCCCAGCGTCCCTCATGCACGTAAAATGGCGCCTTCGCCTTTAGAAAATGAAAACGACAGATGACGGCAGACACATAGGCACAGACACAGCAAATGAGATTAGAGATGCACGGGACATATAATATAGATCTGCCAAAGACCTGGCGGTAAACTACACTCGAACTACACTGGTGTGAATGACGGCAAAATATCTAGACTGTCTGACATGACCCGTCAGCCCAGTCTAAATACTTAGCCGTCGTTGACTAGGTCCTTTTTTTGTACAGAGAGTGAAACACTTTCCTACACTTCGTCACAGATTAAAAAATAAGGTTTGTTAATCTGTGACTTTTTCGTGTAATACACATTGTATTTGATTATCCTTCCAAAATATATATTTACGAAACCAAAGCCACGTGTAACCAGTTAGAAAACGCCTCATTGCTAATTTTGTGTGTTGATAGGATCTTGCGGGACGAGCGAAGCAGACGAAGAAACATAAACCAGGTGGTGCACTGGTTTTGCACAAGTTTTGCACCCGCACTACGTTAGTTCTCTCCGAAATGTGAACTGGTGCATTCCAAATGGAATACGAAATATTATAATACATTTATTGTTGGTAATTAAATCGGATGAGTTGGTCCGTCTTTGTTCATGACTTGTCTGCATCCTGGAATTCTTTCTTAACTTCATTCAAAAAGAAAATAGATGTTTCATGGAAACAAGTTTGAGCACTTTTTCAATTGAGTACCTCTTCATCATTGGATTTTACCAAATACTAAATACTCTCAACAAAATAGTGAATTCTGGGAAGTAATATCATTTTTTTCTGTGACGGGAGAAAAGTTTGGCATTTCATCTCTGTTGGCAGGTTATAAAATGTTAGTTTTCAAAAATTACTTTTTTCCCGTGGGAAAAAAAAGTGAGTACTTTTTTCCCGAATATATATCACATATATACACTGTTGATGGATTTTGTTGTGATATAGTTCCGAAAAATGAGTCAATAATACCTTCTCCGAGAAAGAACTGCAAGTCCTTTTATCTTCCATTCAACTTCGCGGTTACGTATATTACTAAACAACCAGTGAATTCGCAATTTTTCGAAATCAAATCACAGAATTAGACTGACAGAAGTGACATCAGATATTTGATCACTGCAAAAACTCAAAATTTCACGTCGATAATTTTCAGATTTCAAAATAATGTAATATCTTCTCAATATATTGATTCGTCCTTTCTTCTGTCACAGAAAAAAAATAGTGTTAAATATTAGATTTTAGCTCACGGTTTTCTGTCTTCCTCCGCTACGCATCGGGAGACAACACAACCTGGAGCTAAATTCTACAACTTTGTTCCCTTGTATAATAAATAACTATTATTTTCTTGAAACTTCCAATTTTTCATCACTATTTGATGATGACTTCATGATATTAGATTGCCACTAACAATTTGGTTTTCAAACTATTCATCATTGTCTGCTATATATGGAGAAAAAATCTAGTGAGCTGTTTCATATTCAATGTTTCCACCATTTTCAGAACCGCACTGACTTCGCACGAACTCTATTAGTACTCGTGCGAGAATTTATGCACTAAGCTCTAAACAAATCAGTTTTCCAATGGAATTCAAAACCCGAGACCAGTTGAATGTAATACAAAATATGCACTCAGTGCGCAAGGATTATGAAATACTCTCCTTGCTCAGTGCGAGACAGTTTCACCAATGAATCGCATGAATCGAAGAAACCATCAAACTGTTGCAAAATTCCGCTGGAATGTTGATGGATATTACGAAGGCGTAGAGAGGTCACCAACTTATTTTTATTCCAATTCCGAGTTGTAACTCGGAATTCCGACTTGCAACTCAGAATTCCGAGTTGCAACTCGGAATTCCGACTTGTAACTCAGAATTCCGAGTTGTAACTCGGAATTCCGACTTGTAACTCGGAATTCCGAGTTGTAACTCAGAATTCCGACTTGTAACTCGGAATTCCGACTTGTAACACGGAATTCCGACTTACAACACAGAATTCCGAGTTGTAACTCGGAATTCCGACTTGTAACTCGGAATTTCGACTTGCAACTCAGAATTCCGAGTTGTAACTCGGAATTCCGAGTTGTAACTCAGAATTCCGCTGAAGTTGTGATGCCTGAGCCTGAACTTTCATTTAAGCAGAAGTGAAGTTTCTACAAAAGTGGACTATTTTTGCAAATGTTAAAGTGCTGATGATGGAACCTGGAACTACTATATGATATTATTAAGTAATTGTGACAATGATGAATGTGAAATCATATGGTTCCTTTTTCAATTTGTAGGTATTTTAGGTACACCAGTCTCAGCATTTTGTGAATTCTGTATGTAGTTTTGTATTTGATTAGTTCCATAAAAAATATGTATTCATATAATTATCATTTGATCATTGTTTATATTTGTTTCAATCAGATCACTGAATATAAAATAAATGTTCTATAACATCTTTCCATGACATGTAGATCTTTTGTAATATATATTACCTTAATATTACCTTCTGTGAAATAATATAAAATGCAGGTATTTTTCATTTATTAAATAGGTACAATTTTGATATACTTACTTACTATATTCATCTTTTTTTATAATAGATATCAATAAATCACAACAAACTATGTATAAGTAGTATGATACAAAATATTCAACAGCAACTTATTTGGAGTTGGATGAAACTTTAATTGTAGAATAACAACAATAATTGATCAGATGTTCACCTTGATTTTCACCAATTATCTCTTCTGTCTTCATTTCCCAGGACACTTTCTTCATTATACTATAAAATATGAAATGTTACATAATTTAATGAACATACCTAGATACCAAGTTTAGCAAGGAAGCAAGAATTTATGATTGAAGTAAAGTAGGTAGATAATTAGATGTTTTCTTGAGAACATAGGGTAAACTGTATAGTTGTTGGCCATCACACAGTTATTGGCCATGCTATGATTAACTGAAGAAAATAATAAATCATTACAACTTCCACCAATTCTACTTGAAAATTATAAATCTGGCAACATCTATGAATCCATCTTGTGCTGGCCAGAAATAGATATTCAGTCTTCTGAGTATCACGCGCCAATTCAGTCGAGTGCTGCAGAAGTTTCTTCGATTTGCAGGTAAGCTTACCGAATCCATTAGTGAAGATAATCAATATCATTAGTTCCAGAATGTCTCAGACTATTTCAATACTCGATTTATCTGTTAGGGCATCATAAATATATATCAACTATCTATCATATAATCAAAATTCGACGGAATTCTAGGATTTTATCTCGATTTAGTGGGTGGCTAATAACTGTCTCTAGAAAAATCATTATAGATAGTCATTGGCCGGGTGGCCAATGATTATACATTCGTGATTTATTGTTGATCTCTCTCATTCATCTCTGAATCGAAGTACAATTATGTTCATTCTCCTTATTCACTATATTTTCCATCCTCCATTCTCCAAACAGATTTTGGCCACCTGCCAATAACTGAAATTTCAACCGGCCAATGACTGAATTCAATTCGAGGAGAAAAGCTCTACATGATCTCTATCATCATTCAACACATTTTCGTTATTATTTCAGCAGTGTCTGAAGAATAAACTCCTGGTTGATATCTCCTGAGATGCCCAAAGTGAAAGCAGGACGAAAATACAAGAAAAAATATGATGAAGATGCGGTTCAACGAGCATTGGAATCAATTGAAAGTGGGATGTCTCAAAGACAAGCTTCGATCACATTCAATATCCCCAGAGCTACTCTTCAATTCAGATCGAGTGATCAATTCAAGAATAAAACTAAGCCTGGTCCCAATCCAGTTTTAACTGAGGTGGAAGAGAAACATTTGGAGGAATGGATAGTTGCGTGCCAACGGAAAGGTTTCCCTTTGCGAGATGAGGATGTATTCTGTTCGGTCAAAAATTTCCTAGATAAGAACCCCAGAAATAATCCATTCAAGGAAAATAAGCCTCAGTCAGGATGGCTGAAAAGCTTCTTAAAAAGACACCCGCTCATTACTTGGCGCACTTCCGAGGCTATAACATCAGCAAGTGCAAATATATCTGAAAAAGACATTCGTCAATGGTTTCTTCATGTAGAGAACTACTTGACTGAAAAAAACCTGATGGAAATAATGAGTGATCCCAAACGAATATACAATGGAGATGAAACATGTTTTCAACTCTGTCCTAAAAATAGAAGGGTATTAGCGCCCAAGGGCTCTAGAAACGTTTACGAAATTGATCATAACCCAAAGAAGAATATCGGAATTCTGTGTTGTAAGTCGGAATTCCGTGTTACAACTCGGAATTCTGTGTTGTAAGTCGGAATTCCGTGTTACAAGTCGGAATTCCGAGTTGCAACTCGGAATTGGAATAAAAATAAGTTGGTGGCCTCTCTACGCCTTCGTAGGATATCCATCAAACTGTTGTAATAAAATGCGCACTTTCAAATCGCTATTCGAGAATCCAGCAGTTTGGAGGAGATTGACATGACAGTTGACACATTTAAGTGTTGTTTTTTGTTTTGATTTGATAGAAAACAATGAATATTGAGGATTTTTGAGATTCTCGAGAGATTTCAGAAGAAAGAGTCAGTGTTAATCAATAAAATCGAATTAGCCTCTTCTGATTCTCAAGATACATGATTATTGACACACAACAAAATCCGTGTTTCCATCAATGTGTTGTATAAACCATTGTTCAATCCTTCCAGCATAAATTCCAACAGAACAATTGGTGACGTCACGACAAAAAACCGCATCTAACAGTGCGCACTTTCTTCGATGGAATGAAAAACACGCCCTATATCGAAGCGAACGAAAGAATTCCTTATGATGTTCGAAACAAAAAATCGTGCGTATCTATATAGGATATAGGAGGAGAGAGTAGGTATTAGAGTTCTTCAGAAGTTTTCGAGAATATATATATGTTCTTGGAAAAAAATGATGTGCTTATTGCGCTTGTCGAGTACATCTGACTGGTGAATATTGACAGAGATATCTGAAGAACATTTCCTGTGGAAGTATCTGTAGAAAAGAGGATGGTCGCCAACTGGTCTACGGTGTAAATTTATAACTGTTCGTTTCCGATCATAAACTATAGTTTGGCGTGTTGAGCAGAAGCGTTTTCAGGCCAGCAATGCGTCCATGCCAAAGTCCTTGTTGTTTGAATCCTTGCGAAGTACACCTGCACGCGGAGTACACTGAAGTGAACTGAGGGCAAAATACTTTTGTTTTGCTTTATAGGTTAGGCGCACACTGCACAGCAGTGTTGTTCTTGTCATTACTTTTGTAATAGATCTATTACTATTTCACGGAGATTGTTACGATATTACGATTTGTTATGAATCTATTACTATTTGCTGTAAGCACCAAAATATGATGTTTCGTTACTGAAAAATCTATTTCTGTGTTCATGGGTCGATGTTCTATATTTATGTCAGAAGCTCTGTGGGACTTCTGGCCTCATTCCTGTCAGAACTGCCTAATTGTGCGATAGGGTTTGACAAGAATGACATTCAGAATGTCGAATGTCAGATTTCTCGAGTCTATTACCATTTGATACAAATCTGTTACCTTTTTCCAAGGAAAACGAAAACGAAAAAATCAGACCAAGGACTAACCTATATTCTTTGCCAAGGAACAGAACAACACTGCTAGGTTTTTGTTGCTGTTACTCTTACTCGTTAGGTTATGTTTTATTTTATGTTGTTATGAAATGAATAATTCGATTTATAAGTGTTAATTGAAAAAAATATATCCATGTTGAGGTACATGTGAGGATCTGCTTTCAATCGAAATGACTGGGGAGCTGGCAGCCCACTCTTTTCGAAGCACCTTCAAGGTGATTGACAAAGATTTGCTGAGATGGTTCCCAGGGCACATGGGAAAAGGCCTGAAGCAAATGCAATTCAAATTGAGGTCTGTAGACTGTGTCATTGAAGTCCACGACGCAAGGATTCCTATATCTGGTAGAAACGCAGACTTCAAATATTCTATTAGTGGTGTCAAACCCCACATCCTAGTGTTGAACAAGGTCGATTTGATAGAGGAAGCTTTCATACCCAAGATACAAAAGCGATTGAGAAGTGAACATGAGAACATTGTTTTCACACATTGCAGGAATCAGCAGTGTCTTGGCTTGAAGAAACTATTTCCTCTGGCACAGGAACTGATCAATAAATCTGATAGGTACAACCGTTCAAGTGAAGAGGACTATAACATCATGATAATTGGTGTGCCCAACGTGGGCAAATCTTCTTTGATAAATGTGCTGCGAGCCAAACATTTGGGCAGAGGTAATGCTACTCTTGTGGGGGCAATTCCTGGAGTTACAAGGAGTGTGTTGCACAAGATAAAGATGTGTGAGAAACCCTTGATCTATATGTTGGATACTCCAGGAATCTTGACCCCTGATATTGCCAGCATTGAAACTGGACTGAAATTAGCTGTATGTGCAACTATAGCAGATCATCTAGTTGGAGAGAAAATTATTGCAGATTATCTACTATACTGGTTGAACAAACATGAACATTTTAATTATGTTAATTTTTTCAAGATGGAAAAACCCTTGGACAATATTTTGGAAGTGTTATCTCATATCAGTAAAATTCATAATAGGACATTGAAAATCAGAGATTTTCATAATAATTATGTTATTAGGCCTAATTTAGATGCAGCTGCAACATTAATGTTGAGAGCTTTCAGGAATGGGAATTTGGGGAAGCTAATGCTTGATGAAGATTTGTTATGAATTTTTAGCTAATATATTAATCTTAGAATGTGCTTATTCATTCTGATTATTCCAACAAAAATAAATAATTGTCACTTTGATTTTCTGATGTCTCTGACTGAATTGGGAAGTTTCCAACATTGAAGTTTCTATCTCACTGTGAAGTTTGTGCAAATAAGGATGTGAAAATTCAATGTATGCATATTTTTTTTTCTAATATCAAATCACTTCAGAAAACAAAAATAAAAAAATAAATGACACCCCTACACCTTTTCCATGACCCCTGAAAATCCAAATTCACCCAGACCAGTGTTGTTCCTGGGAGCCTTGGTTCCTGGGTCTATATTTTTCATACCAGATTTAACAGATTTGAATCAGAACGTAAAAGATTGGAAAAGTCTGATATTTGATATTCTAAATGTCATCTTTGACAAGCTCTATCCCACGAATTAAACATTTTTGACAGGAATGAGGCAAAAGTCACATAGAACTTATGACATGAATATAGAACATAGACTGTGACATAGATTTCTTAGTTATGTATCAGAACCTAATCATTCTCTGAACACAGAAATAGATCAACTATCATATTTTGGAGCTAACAGCAGATAGTAATAGATTCATGACAAATCGTAATATCGTAACAACCTCCGTGAAATAGTAATAGATCTATGACAAGAACAAGACTGACCCAGACCACAGACGACCTTGGCAAGGTGGATAGAATAATATAGTACTGTGATATGGTGTAATCCGACAGTGTTTAGTTTCTCCCAAAACGCTTGACCCTAGATACTGCAATAATATAATAATGGCATATTAGTTATCAGTTGTCCGCAAGATGGCGACACTTTTTACAGATTTCTTACATGACAGAAAACGGTGCTTACACACCGCTTGTGTTACAGTTCAAATTCAGTAAAATGATAAGTACTCATTTTATTCATTAGTCATGAGTTTGCTTCATTTCATTGGAAGAATCTGCTGCTACTACGTACTACTACTATTTCTATGATTCTCAGTGTGCATACCAAAAACGTTCGTTCGTTGAAGGATATATCGTGCATATTGTTTTTCTGATCACCTTGTATAATATATTTGGCTATTTTTTATTGTTATGGACCCTTGGTGACCGATAAACATCTAAGGTTTGGCAAATGTTCGACAGTTGTCATAATTGAAGTGAAGTTTCGAATTCAACGGGTGTTACGGCTTCTTTCCTGTGGTGACGATAAGAGAGTCGCTTGTGATACCGTAGCAGGCTCGCAAAAATTCCTGAAAATTGCGAAAATTCCTGAAGATTGCAAAAATTCCTGGAAATTGCAAAACTTGCAAAATTCCTGAAAATTGCAAAAATTGCAAAAATTCCTGAAAATTGCAAAAATTGCAGAAATTGCAGAAAATGCAGAAATTGCAAAAAACGCGGAAATGCAAATTGCAAAAATTGCAAAAGTTCGTGAAAATTGCAAAAATCGCAAAAATGACTGAAAATTGCAAAAATTCCTGAAAATTGCGAAAATTCCTGAAAATTGCAAAAATAACAGAAATTGCAAAATTCGCGAAAATGCCTGAAAATTGCAAAAATTGCGAAAAACTCCTGAAAATTGCAAAAATTCCTGAAAATTGCGAAAATTCCTGAAAATTACAAAAATTGCAGAAAATCGCAAAATTCGCGAAAATGCCTGAAAATTGCAAAAATTGCGAAAACTCCTGAAAATTGCAAAAATTCCTGAAAATTTGCAGAAATTGCTGAAATTGCAGAAGTTGCAAAAATGCCTGAAAATTGCAAAAATTCCTGAAAATTGCAAAAATTCCTGAAAATTGCAAAAATTACAAAAATTCCTGGAAAGTAGAAAAATTTCTGAGTATTGCAGAAATTCTTGAAAATTGCAATAATCGCAAATATTCCTAAAATTGTAAAAATTGCAAAAATCGCAAAAAATCCTGAAAATTGCAGAAATTGCAAGAATTGAAAAAATTCTTGAAGATAAGAAAGATTTCTGAATATTGCAAAAACTCCTATAGATTGCAAAAATTGCAAAAATTCCTGAAAATTGGAAATTTTTACAATTTTCCAGAATTTTTGCAATTTTTGCATTTTTCAGGAATTTTCGCGATTTTCAGGAATTTTTGAAATTTTTGCAATTTTCAGGAATTTCCCCCGAAAATTGCAAAAATTGCAAAAGTTCATGAAAATTGCAAAAATTCCTGAAAATTGCAAAAATTCCTGAAAATTGCAAAAATTGCAAAAATTCCTGAAAATTGCAAAAATTGCAGAAATTCTTGAAAATTGCAAAAATTGCAAAAATTCCTGAAAATTGCAGAAATATCAAAAATTCCTGAAAATTAGAAAAAATTGCAAAAATCGCTAAAATTCCTGGAAATTGCAAAAATTGCAAAATTCCTGAAAATTGCAGGAATATCAAGAATTCCTGAAAATTAGAAAAAAATTGCAAAAATCGCAAAAATTCCTGGAAATTGCAAAAAATCGCAAAATGCCTGAAAATTGCAAGTACTGCAGAAACTCCGGAAAATTGCAAAAATCGCAAAATTTACTAATTGCAGAAATTGAAAAAATTCCTGAAAAATTGCAAAATTTCCTGGAAGTTGCGAAAATTGCAAAATTCCTGAAAACTGCAAAAATTTCTGAAAATTGCAAAAATTGCAAAAATTTCTGGAAATTGTGAAAATTCCTAAAAAGTCCTGAAAATTGCAAAAATTCCTGATAATTGTAAAAATCGCAAAAATGCCTGAAAATTGCAAAAATTCGCGGAAATTGCAAAAATCGCAAAAATGCCTCAAATTGCGAAAATCGCAAAAATGCCTGAAAATTGAAAAAATTCCTGAGAATTGCAAAAATCGCAAAAATTCCTGGAAATTGCAAAAATCGCAAAATGCCTGAAAATTGCAAGTACTGCAGAAACTCCGGAAAATTGCAAAAATCGCAAAATTTACTAATTGCAGAAATTGAAAAAATTCCTGAAAATTGCAAAATTTCCTGGAAGTTGCGAAAATTGCAAAATTCCTGAAAACTGCAAAAATTCCTGAAAATTGCAAAAAATTGCAAAAATGACTAAAAATTGCAAAAATTGCAAAAAATTCCTGAAAACTGCAAAAATTCCTGATAATTGTAAAAATCGCAAAAATGCCTTGAAAATTGCAAAAATTCGCGGAAATGCAAAAATCGCAAAAATGCCTCAAAATTGCGAAAATCGCAAAAAATGCCTGAAAATTGAAAAAATTCCTGAAAATTGCAAAAATCGCAAAAATGCCTAAAAATCGCTAAAATGCCTGAAAATGGCAACAATTCCTGAAAATTGCAAAAATCGCAGATGCCTGAAAATCGCAAAAATGCCTGAAAATTGCAAAAATTGCAAAAATTCCTGAAAACTGCAAAAAATTCCTGAAAATTGTAAAAATCGCAAAAATGCCTGAAAATTGCAAAAATTCGCGGAAATTGCAAAAATGCCTCAGAATTGCAAAAATTCCTGAAAATTGCAAACATCGCAAAGATGCCTACAAATCGCAAAAATGCCCGAAAATTGCAAAAATTGCAAAAATTCCTGAAAATTGCAAAAATTACAAAAATTCCTGAAAATTGCAGAAATTGCAAAAATTCCTGAAAATTGTAAAAATCGCAAAAATTCCTGAAAATTGTTATAAATCGCAAAAATGCCTGAAATTTGCAAAAATTCCTGAAAATTGCAAAATTGCAAAAATTCCTGAAAACTGCAAAAATTCCTGAAGATTGTAAAAATCGCAAAAATGCCTGAAAATTGCAAAAATTCGCGGAAATTGCAAAAATGCCTCAAAATTGCAGCAATCGCAAAAATCCCTAGAAATTGCAAAAATTCCTGAAAATTGCAAAAAATGCAAAAATTCCTGAAAACTGCAAAAATTCCTGAAAATTGTAAAAATCGCAAAAATTCCTGAAAATTGCAAAAATTCCTGAAAATTGCAAGAATATCCTGAAAATTGCAAAAATCGCAAAAATGCCTGAAAATTGCAAAAATTCCTTTAAATTGCAAAAATTTCTGAAAATAGCAAAAATCGCAAAAATGCCTGAAAATTGCGAAAATTCCTGAAAATTGCAAAAATCGCAAAAATGCCTCAAAATTGAAAAATCCCTAAAAATTGCAAAAATTCCTGAAAATTGCATAAATTGCAAAATTGCAAAAAATGCAAAAATTCCTGAAAAACTGCAAAAATTCCTGAAAATTGCAAAAATTCCTGGAAATTGTAAAAATCGCAAAAATGCCTGAAAATTGCAAAAATTGCAAAAATTACTGATAATTGCAAAAATCGCAAAAATGCCTGAAAATTGCGAAAATTCATGAAAATTGCAACAATCGCAAAAATGCCTAAAAATCGCAAAAATGCCTGAAAATTGCAAAAATTGCAAAAATTCCTGAAAATTGTAAAAATCGCAAAAATGCCTGAAAATTGCAAAAATCGCAAAAATGCCTCAAAATTGCAGAAATCGCAAAAATCCTTAGAAATTGCAGAAATTGCAAAAATTCCTGAAAATTGCAACAAATGCAAAAATTCCTGAAAATTGTAAAAATCGCAAAAATGCCTAAAAATTGCAAAAATTCGCGGAAATTGCAAAAATCGCAAAAATGCCTCAAGATTGCAGAAATCGCAAAAATCCCTAAAAATTGCAAAAATACCAGAAAATCGCAAAAATTCGCGGAAATTGCAAAAATCGCAAAAATGCCTCAAAATTGCAGAAATCGCAAAAATGCCTCAAAATTGCAGAAATCGCAAAAATCCCTAAAAATTGCAAAAATACCAGAAAATCGCAAAAATTCGCGGAAATTGCAAAAAATCGCAAAAATGCTCAAAATTGCAGAAATCGCAAAAATGCCTCAAAATTGCAGAAATCGCAAAAATCCCTAAAAATTGCAAAAATTCCTGATAATTGTAAAAATCGCAAAAATGCCTGAAAATTGCAAAAATTGCAAAAATTCCTGAAAATTGCAAAAATCGCAAAAATGCCTGAAAATTGCAAAAATTCCTGAAAATTGCAAAAATCGCAAAAATGCCTAAAAATCGCTAAAATGCCTGAAAATTGCAAAAATTTCTGAAAATTGCAAACATCGC